AAAATGAAAAACAAAGGTTATGCAAAATTGAGGGGGGGGGGGGGGGGAAAAAAAGGGGAATTTGGGAGAGGAGGAAAGGGGGGAATCCCACCGCCCCTCCCAAGCCAAAAGGGTAAAACGGGTTTTTATTAGAAACGCCAGCATGTTGCAAGTAACAAACCAAAAAAAAAAAAATTTATTTATAAAGGGGCCAGGGGGGGGGGGGGGGGGGAGCAAATAAGGTGCATTATGGGAGATGAGCAAGTGACGTAATCCCATCGCCCATCCAAGTCCAATCGGTTAAAGCTGGTTTTAATTAGCAACGCCAGCATGATGCAAGTAACAAGCCAAACAAAAAAATCTTGTATTATCAAGGGCGCCAAGAGATTCACCGTCTATTTACAAACCGAGGAGGTCTGGGTATGAGGCCGTTTAATATGGGATTATCGACACAAAATATACATAACCGAAAAGATCACACCGAGTTTGGCAAAATCCCCCCGTTAATCGAGAAAATACTGAAGAAAATACAGCAACTCAAAAACGCGAAAATTTACAAAGAAATGTATGGATTACTGGACGGATTTTCCGTTCATCCATACATTTGTTAGTAAAGTTTGGAGGTTTTGAATGACTTTATCTCGTTCATTATTTGCCCCCTTAACACCTAACTTGAGGCTTTTCTAAAGCTCAGTGAGCTCTCCCTGACTATTAAGCTGGTGTTTTGGTAATCCCATAACATTTGGACTCGTAACCAGTCCTTCACGGTTTGTTAGTCCATGAACTCTGAGGCAAGCACAAGCACAAGCACAAGAAATGAATAAAACAAAATTAATTCCTGCCGCGTGTTCTTGCCTATAGGTTGTTTTCACTGTAAAAGAAATGAGGACTTCAATGTTTTCACTAGCGCTGGCGTCGCAACAAGCAGTTCCCAAGATGAACACGTTTGAAGGTACCTGATTTGTAAACTAACAATATTTTAAATGTTTGGATTGTGAATGTTTCAAATTAAATGTTTGAAAAAGCTCATACCTATAATCCACTGCATAGTACTTGAAAAATCCTATGAAAAGCTCTCCTAAGGACTGCTTGTTTTCAGACCTAAGAGGAGAATACAAAATAATGCAATACACTGATGAGGATTTTTGCAGCAACAAGAATTGATTAGCACAAACTACAGTTCATTACCGACAATGAAGGGAGGGATAAAGAGTGAAGAAAGCAAGGGGGATCACAGGAGCCTACTCACAGGGTAGACCAAGTGGGCTAAACCTTCACAGTTTTCCTGTACATAAAACAACCGGCTGAAAATCTCGTAAATGGGCATTAACAATGAAATTTGACATCGTGGGAGATGGACCCACAAGAAAGTATTTCCAAATAAGATGGAGCGGTCAAAAAGAGCAGAAAAAATACATCAGCTGAAACGACAGCCCACGCTCTAAAAAGCTTCCTCGATGGAATGTCGCACACCGTTTGATATTCCAAGTTATTACCCCTAGATACAACCCCGACCTTCCGACATCTTCTGATGACTGAAATACGTAACAATGTTCACCCATCCTCTTCGTGCCTCGTGACCATAAGTCCTGGAATACAATATTATTTTGGGATAATAACTTGTTGACCTTGGACACCACTTAAACAGAGGCAATCACCTATACAAGCCTAAAAACAGAAATAAAGCATCTAATCTGGACTTACTTGTTTCGGCTGATGTGTTTAAATGGATCCTCAAGTTCTGACACATCTCCATGGTACTTGAACACTTTCTAGAGACATTAAATGTTCAACAATGATGTCAAACGGTACATATTAGAGACCTTTAGATTTGAGGACGACAACGAGTACAAGATTTAAATTAAAAGTTTTTGCGCGTGTTCTAAAAAGACACTCCGGAAAGCTTCATTTTACCATTTTTTTTTTTTAAACTTAAAGAGTTAGTGCGGTTATTTATACTGAAGGAGGTTAAGCCCTCTCCCGATAGCAAAATGATAAAACTTCTTACATTTGATAACTTGTTCCCTCCACTACGACATTCGCGCTAAATCTTGTGGTAGAATGACGACGGCCATCTCAGTTTTCCCGCCAAAATGACGTTGGTTCACGCGTGCGCAATGCTCAGTATTGAGAAAATTTCGTACTCCCTAACTCGTAGTCGTCCTCGTCTCAGACTCTAAAGCTCTCCATTATACTCCCTGGACAACAGTCCAAGACACAGACCACAAGCTACACTGCAGGCCATGATTCCTTACACCTGATGCCTGAGGACTACACTGTAGTGCTCCTCAGACTGTACTAGAACAATAGAGACCTTTACATTCAAGGACGGGGACGACTACGAGTACAAGATTTGACTTCAAGTGTTTTCGCGTATTCTGAAAATATCATGATAGACATCCCGGAGAGGTTCATTTTACTATTTTTCACTAGAAAAGTTAGCACTGTTACCTTTAGTGAAGTAGGTTACACCCTCTCCCGATCGCAAAATGATAAAACTTCTAACATTTGATAACTTTTTCCCGCCACTTCGACATTCTCGCTAAAACTCGTAGTAGAGTGACGACGGCTACCTCGTTTTCCCGCCAAAATGACGCGGGTTCACGCGCGAGCACTATTTATCACTGAGAAAATCTCGTACTGGCTGTCGTACTCGTCTTAGAATCTAAAGGTCTCTAATAAAATCATAAGAAATCCGGCATATGTTGTAGGTTTATGAATGCAGAACAGAGAACACTAGACCAAGATAAAACACTTTAAAGAGCAGTACTTATGACTTACTGGATATTGCCTTTGCAAGACAGGAACAACAGCGGGTTTGCAAACACCTGCAAACATAGATTATAACAATTATACTACTACATGAAAAATTACTGCAATTTGATTGGCTTAGAGCAGTGGTATTTCAGCTTAATTTGAAATACCTACATGTGAAAATTACAAACCTTGTGCGGGTAGTAGTATAAACAAATAATAGCATGATTTGTAAGTGATATTTGGCATAAATACCACTAGTGATATTTCAAAATTGTCTCAAATTTCACTTGCCTAACGGCTCGTGAAATTTCGTATAACAATTTCGAAATACCACTCATGGTATTTATGCCAAATATCACTACAAATCATGCTATTCCTATACTAATGATTATTACAATTTATTTATCTATATTTTGGCCACAAAGTAAATCCCTCAAGGACTAAACTAGTCTGGCCAAGACTGCTTCATTTTGCTGCATATCCTTGCAAAAAAGACGAGAGAGAGAGAGTGAGAAAAAAATCTGTCTGTTTCTATTTTACCTTGTAGGTAATGAATGACCATCAGGGTAAGAGCATAACTAGAAAGTGTTCCTTGGCTTGCATCATTAATGCCATGCGTTTTGGCCCATTTCTTAACTAACATGACCATGGGCTTGACACGAGAATCCACTAAAAATGAGAAAAAAGGAGACAGAGAAAAATATGTAACGCATCATGATTTAACCAACCTGTGATAAAGAAAAAAAATGAGTCCATAAAAGAAATAATCATCATCATGGCCATGTGTTATCTTAATGATAATAACATACTTTATTGGGTGAACACAAATTACTGTTAAAACAGTGGTTTCACAATGTGGCCCTTTTTGAAAGATTGCACGCCTCGCACAGTATTAATGAGTTTTTGTGATACAGTATTTCAACAGTCAATGAGCTGTATTGTTAACATAAGATCATAAGTACTGATGGAACTCTTACCAACACAGTAAGCTCGGAGTAAATGAGTATTCCTTACACCCTGAAATAAAGTAAGAGGCAAAGATAATTAAAACAAAATTCTCAAATCTGATTGGCTATCAACTGCCCTAATTTCAGAACTAATAGGACAGTGTAATAGGACAGTACGCGTCATGCCTAAGTGATTGGACAGTACGCACCATCGGACACGCGCACTTCAATGACTTTTTTTCCACTTCTAGCAAAAACTCTCGTAATTTCTTGGGTTTTAATATTTTTTATAAAACGAACAAATCTCACAAATTTTGTTATAGTTATGATTAATTGGTAACGGAACTTCGTGTCGTCCAATTCGGTCTGTAATCATACTCGTGATTAAACAAATCAGACTCTCGCTAAGCGGTCGTTCGATTTTGTCGATCACTCGTACGATTACAGACCGAATTGGGCCGGGTTGTTCAAAGCAGGGTTAAGTTAACCAGGGATAGCGCGAAATTTGATTTCAGATACGAAAGCTTAAAAAGCAAATTCTGTTTTATTCTTTTTGCCTACAATTTGATGATTGGATGCTCTAAGAAGAATAGAGAATATTATTCGGGAAAACGCTTTTAAACAAAAGAAAAAGAAACCCGGGTTACAATTTAACTCTGGGTTAGCGCTAGTCGGCCTTCAAACAACTGGACCCAGGACTCCACTCAATCTTATTACCATTATTAATCAATTTAAAAGATGAGGCACAAGAAGAGTGGGTTATTGCCAAAAGACCATGTTGATCAAAAATTTATGAAAGAAAGACTTTGTAAAAAAGTTTGTTTCAAGTCTCCCTCGTACCCAGACGTCTCTCTCTCGATGAAAATGTGCCCGCAAAGGAAGGCCGCTTCGCCTGCCGTCTGTACCCTTCCCATGGTCCCTTGCGGTTCATCGCCGGTCGCTCGCCATTACCTTGCGCAAAACGAAGCGCCTGAGGAGGAGGCTGGTTTCAAGTAGTTTTCGATAATGAACATGTTAAATTCAGAGCAAAAATTTCATTTTGTTTACATTTTGACAGGCATCAATGGCTGTTCCAAAGATATAACGAGCATCTTACCAACCTCTGTTTTACAGTCTGTACTATAAGTTAATGGCACTTATTGTAATTATGTTTTCTTTTCCACAGATTTATGGCTGTGCACTTTGTCCTTTAAGCACTTTGCCCACAATTAATTGCAGTAAGGACCTCGAACTGACTTAGGTAGAGGTATGAATTGTCTGGAAACACTTCTAATATTGCTGTGATACTGAGAATAATTTAAAACACACTGTACAATCACTTCTCTTAAGATGTCCACATTTAATTTTTAGATCTGTATTAGAAACAAAAGCTTCACGGGCTCATGGAAACACACATCATAAAATAATCAACTTGGACAAATCAATCAAAAGGAAAGGAACAAATCAGGTAACACATACCACAGTATTGTTGATGTTAATGTCACACTCACAGCCGCTAGACAACAAGAGCAACAAAAAATATGAGAAATTTTTCTACATGTATTAATAACGAGATGTTTACTACAAGGTAAATAGCCAGCAGAATGAAAGAAGCAGGGTTGTGCAAGGGCTGAAATCAAACCAATGTGGCTTAGTTTCCAAGTTCCAGGGTCATCGAGGTTGGTTTGAGATTGTTGTTGGTTCTCTTCTCTGGTTGAGTACTCTGTTAAACATGTACCCCTTTCCTTAGATTTCCACTTAGATCACGGATCTGGAAAGTGTCTCTCCTGTGGACATTTACAAGTAGAGGGCCACAGGTTTATCAATTCTTGGGATGTTATGACTGTCAAGTGTTGCTCACTCTAAATGTCATGAGCTTGTTAGTTTTGTACCTGTCCGTTTAACTTGTAGGGTCAACTAAACAGAACAAAAAAAAATGAAACTGGGAAACAACACAAGTCACCACTTCTGAATCTTCTGTCATAGGCCTTGATTATGCCGCCCTTCAATCCCCCCACCCCAAAATTGCCTGAGCACTGTCTTTACTGTCTCTTGTAACCACTGCATCACCCGGGAGAAATTGCAAAGAACGGCTACGCATTTTTTTTTCTTTTGGGGGGGGGGGGTAAGGCAAGACTGGCATTTCCAGAATGCTATAACTTGACAGGGGCAAGCGGTCACTGTGTTATTCCTACCCTGCAGTCATCGCATCTTCAATTCTCATGACTCCTTTGACTAATTAACAAATAGTTCGAGATACCGAAACAATCAGATTGCTTAAATCAGCAGTACGCATATTGTAAGGAGAAATGAAATAAACTTGTTACTGAGGGACTACGTAATAACATTATAAAGGCTTAAAACTAACCTTATGTTGTCCACAAATTTTAAAATTGGAACTGAGGCTGGTATAACTTGACATTCACTAAGGAATGCTGTAAAAAAGCACAATACATTACTCTATGATTTGAACTACAAACTGCTGTAAACAGGTAAACAGCATTTTTATCATTAATTCTTTAGTACACAAATGGAAGTGGTATTGGTAGTGGTAGTGGTACTAAATTGACGCCATCATGCAAATGGCCTATTAATAATCTGCTTCATGTATCTGTTCAACAAAGTTAGGACTGTCAATAATTTTTAAAGCACTTAGAGAGAGTACTTACAGTAAGTAGGGTCATTGTTTAGCAATCTCTGCAGTTGTCTTAGGACTGGTAAGGCTTCTCTTCTATTGTTTGACTTTAATGAATGGTAAAAGCCAATTTAACAAAGTTTCATTAATTTCAAATATACAAAAGACTAGTAAAAACTGCACTTTTATTACATTCGGACACAATAATTACAATATTCTTTGAAGTCTATCATCAGTTTATGGTTCCATGATGCACAAATTGCACATACAATCACATCAGAAATAAATTAACACGTTTCAACTAAATTATTTGATGTCTTGAGTTTATAAGGAAAAGTACGTAAGACCACCTGTACCCAGGGAGACTGGGTACGAGTCTGTGTATTTCGAGGTTATTAAAACAAGACACATAATCAGAAACAGCACACCACGCTTCACAAAACCCCGACTGTTTAGTGTTAATCAGGCCAATATTAAACAAGATACAGCCAATAAAAAGCTCAAAAGAATTTAAAAGAAATGTTTGAATCACCAGCCATTTGTCCACTACACTGTATTTTATCTCTTTACTGTTACATGTATAACTTTCAGAAGTTTTGAATGGCTGTATTTTGTTCAAAAAGTAGCCTCATTAACAGAAAACGTTTCGATTTTGTGAAGATCAATGTGCACGTTTTAACATTGTACTTATTGTGTTCATCAAGCCAAAATCCTCAATTCCAATCTTTGGAAAAGCCAAAATCCTGAATTCTAATGATTGTAAAACACAAACCACTGAATCAAATACTTGAAAAGCCAAAATCTAGAATTCCAATGTTTGAAAAAGCAAAATTCCAGAAGTTCACTGTCTAAAAAGGCAAAATCCTCTATGAAAATGTTTGGAAGAGAACAATTCCTAACTTCTGATGTTTGGAAAGTCAAACATCCTCAATACCAATGTTTGGAAAAGCCAAAATCTTCAATTCCAAACTTTGGAAAGACAATTTTCTAGCAAAAATAAAGAATTTCACCAACTAAAAAGCCAAAACCTAAATTCCAATGTTCGGAAGAGCACAAATCCTAAATACTTCTGTTTAGAAAAGCCAAAATCCTCAATTCCAATGATTGGAAGAGCACAAACCTTAAATTCTCATGTTTGGAAAAGCCAAAATCGTCAATTTTAATGTTAAGAAAAGACTATATCGTCAATTCCAATGATTGGAAAAGCACAAATCCTTAATCCTAATGTTTGGAAAATCCAAAATCGTACATTCAAAGTTTGGAAAAGACCATATCCTCAATTCAAATGATTGGAAAAGCAAGAAATAAAAAATTCTACTGTTTGGAAAAACCAAAATCCTCAATTGCAATGCTTGGAAAAGCACAAATCCTAAATTCTAATATTTGTAAAAGCTAACATCCTCAATTCCAATGATTGGAAAAACCAAAGTCCTGAATTCCAACATTTGGAAAACAATAGATCTGCAATTTCAATGTTTGGGTAAGCACAAATCCTAAATTCTAATGTTTGAAAAAGCGAAAATCCTCAATTCCAAAGTTTGGAAAAACTGGTACCTCAATTCCAATGATTGGAAAAGCACAAATCCTAAATTCTATTGTCTAGAAAAGCCAACATCCACAATTCCAATGCTTGGAAAAGACTAGATCCTCAATTCCAGTGTTTGGAAAAGCACAAATCCTAAATTCTAATGCTTGGAAAAGCTAAAATCCTCAATTCCAATATTTGGAAATAAACATTAGAAAAGTGAAATTCGTCAATTCCAATGTTTGGAAAAAAGTAGATCCTCAATTCCAATAATTGGAAAAGCACAAATCCTAAATTCCACTGTTTAAAAAAGCCACATCCTCAATTCCAATGTTTCGAAAAGACTAGATCCTCAATTCCAATAATTGGAAAAGCACAAAATAAAAAAATCTAATGTTAGGAAAAACCAAAATCATCAATTCCAATGTTTGGGAAAGCACAAATCCTAAATTCTAATGTTTGGAAAAGCCAACATCCTGAATTCCAATGTTTGGAAAAGACTAGATCCTCAATTCCAATGATTGGAAAAGCACAAATCCTAAATTCTAATGCCAACATCCTCAATTCCAATGTTTGGAAAAGACTAGTTCCTCAATTCCAATGATTAGAAAAGCACAAAATAATAAATTCTAATGTTTGGTAAAGTATGTAGTAGTACGTAATAGTATGTAGGAAGGAGATGGGTTTTCATCAAAAACATTTGGGAAAAGCCTATTTCATTGACGAAATGACCGGTCTGGCCATAATCCGGCCAGCCAGTTTTCACCCTAAGTTTACGTGTACATTGTACATACAAAAAAGTAGTAAGGCATTCCTAAAAAGAGAGAGCGAAAAGTAGATGAAAAGGTCATGTACATGAACCTTACCTGTCTTATATGTCTTAACTGGAAACAAAAATCTGCATCACTAGAATCACTACCAAATCCATTACTTGATGAACCACAGAGATGCAGCGAACAACCTTTAAAATAAAGTATGAATATGCAATAATTGCATTCAAAAATTCCTTCAGACAGGTTTGTTAAATTAGTTGGAAAATATCTGGGTCATACTTCCAGTTGCAAACCCCTAACTTACCACTGTGCTATAAAATGATGAAACAATAATAAGATTGATTACATGTTTGTTAACACTCTTCAAGTATCACTGGCTGATATGATGTACTGGCACTACCAGTACATCCAAATGATACACACTACTGTTCAGTAACTATAATTATGTAAATGAAACCTAAATGACTATAATAATAAGTAAATTAACATAATTCTACATAATTATGAAAATGCATGCATTAAAATAAAAGTCTATACTGCAGGTTACGAGCAGTATTGAAGATCACTCCCACCCAGTACTGTAGCTTTGCAAGATTTTGAAAGGGAACCATGACAGCAGACATGGCTTTTCACATGTAGCTAAAGATTAATGGCTTAATGTGTGTCACAGTCCAATGGGACATCCCTTTGAAACCTGAGATAAGGTTTCTTTTCACCTTTATACTGATCAGGGATGTAGATAACTGTGTTCCAGCCAGAGTGCCCCATAGCATGAATCTCACAAAAGATCCAGAGATGGCCCCCAACAAAAGCGTTCAACAGCCATTATGGCCTTTTCCTTCTTTAATTCCCTGGGTTTTAAAATGTCTCTGTTACTTCGACTACAATAATTTTCCAATTAAACAGAATTTTTAATCTAAAGAACAACTGAACAGAACAGCTCCATATCTTTTTACACAACATGAAAATCAATCAGTGGATCTTTATGAATCAGCCAACATGTTTACCTGATTTACCATGAGTGGTCTGGAGACCACTGAGCCCGACTTGAGAGGTTAACCCTGGCAAAAGCATCTTCAAGGACTATCAAAGGTTTTTTTCTCAGTAAGTAACGAAAAAGTGAATGGCGGCGAAGCAGTTCAGAAGAAGCGAAAAGAAGAAGATCTTGACGGTGAATTGGAAAATGTAGATGGTGTAGTGGAGCTGAGAAAACGAACCGAAGCAAAAACAAGCTCATATGGAAAAAAATTCTGCTCAGATGTTGGTTGAACGATTTCAGCTATTCATTTTAATGTCATGCATGATTCAGCAATGAAAAAAAAGTACTTACTATTTCTGATTGTACTAATGTTTGCTTTATTGCCGAAGATTTACTATATGTGTATAAAAAGGAATCCTCCATGTCAGCTTCAAAGAAACTGCCATTTTCATTTTACTTAACTTCCCAACCATTTCTTCTCTTTTGCATATTAAAAAGATAGTGGAATATTGGCCCTTTCTTGAAAAATCTGGCCCCCAAAAATGGATTGTAGGGGCCACTTCGGCCCTCAAGCAGAATTTTCTGGCTGGAACACTGAGATAACAGCTGGGAGCCGGGGAAAATACCTGGCTCCCGACATATTTTTTCCAGCTGATAAAAATTGCAGTCTTTAAAAAGGCAACTATTTTCTTCTTATATTACCTGCCCATCAAATGCCATTTCCCATCTGTTAAAAATTTAAGCTACATCCCTGATTGATAATTCCCCTGATTAAAATTTTTAAAATTTTATTTCCACTTCACATGTGTTTCTTTTGCATGGTCAATATAGAAGTATAATACATGAAAATGAGCACCAAATCCCTACTACCCTTAACAAAGCCATTGACAAAATAGGGCTAAAGGTAGAGGGTATCTGCCCGGAACACCCAGTTACCTGGATAAATTGGGGACAAAGTCTCTTCTAAAAATGATTTTAACATCAGTTTCTTTTCTAAAGTTGTTGTGGTTTGCAAGCACTTCTTACATTCCTCTTCTATTTCTACAGAAAGCTGAAATAATAAGAATAACACACAATAAGAATATAGTAATCTATCACTGGCAAGAAAAACTCACAATGCATGTGTTCCAGGAGGGATCTAGGAAATCCTGGACAGGCAGAGAAAAGGAGGCTTGATTTATAGTTTTCCTTGCAGAAAGAATTCATTCAATTCACAACAGCATGCAAAGAAAGTGGTGTCCGATAGCCCAGGGCTAGTGGATTTTGCTACTGGGCTAGTGAATTCTGTTCTCAATTTGCTCAACAGGCAGGAAAAGTTTTTTGGGGAATTCACTGTAATCAACCCTGCTCATCCAAAAATTTTTTTCAGGCTATATAAAGTGACTCTTGGGCTAGTATATTCTAGCTACAGCTTGCCCGAATGGCAAGCTGCAAAACTGACTTTCTTTGCACCCTGCACCTTTTTTAATGCAGAAAACATAATATCTTAAATAATCATCACTGAAATTATGCCTTGTTTTGCTCCTGTAAAAACCTGACTTTGTACTGATTTTACAAAATTTTGTAAAAAATGTCTGGAGGATTACCTCATCCAGAGGATAAGACTGACGACCGACCAGAAATGGCTGAACTCAGGCTACAAGTAATGTCCAAGACAGTAATGTACTGTTAATTGAACAATTTATTTTTATTATATTTTATTTGCCACACAATAATTACAAAAAATAAACGAAAAGAGAGAAAATAAAGAAGTGGCGAGGAGACCTAACAGAAACTATAGGAACTTATAAGAGGTTAGGCCTCCTCAAACTAAGGGTTAGAGCTGTTTAACATCAAGTAAAGAAAAGATAGCAAAAAGTCCAAGATGGAAAGATTTATGAACTCTTTTCATATTTACTCAATAATTTAATCCTCAGTTTTTTCTTAAAAGAGGAAAGGGAAGGAGAGTTGATGACCTCATTGTCGAGTGAATTAAAAAACTTAGGCCCTTGAAAAAAGGGCGAGAACTTCTTAGTGTTTGTACGACAATACGGTAGACGGTAGGCCTGGGAATTTCGTGTTTTGTAAGAGTGGAATAGATTGCTTTGGGAGAAATTGTTATTAAACCTTGGAGGTAAGAATGAATTTTTGCAAGAATAGATAAATTGGCCCAGTTGAAGCAAATGGATATCATAAAATTTCAGTATACCGAGGTCCTTAAAGATGGGGTTTGTATGAGCATTGAAATGTGATTTATTAAAAATAAATTCTAATAATGCGTAATGATCAGCGAGTGTTGTGAATAGGACAGTGACTGAGATTTCAACAAACTCTGTGGAGGTCGTCATCTACAGGGCTACTGATTATTGCTTTTCCACAGGTTAACACCACTGTCTTGGCTGGAGAAAGTGAACACCATTTTCAGGCCTACTGTAAATGTACCTCTTTTCAGAAAGGACATATGTCTGTCCGGGTCACCATTTAAGTCAGAAAACCCGGAAAAGTGTTGAGACAGAAATTGTGTTGACTATTTATTTATTTTTTTAACTAGTACCCTAATTTTCAGCTTCAAAAAATATAGTCTTCAATTTTTTTATCTGTCTGACAGCCTTAGGGTTTGAAATTGACTTTTATGTCCAGTTGTCCCTGGGGCAACCACAAGACTTGGTTTGGTTGCCCATTGAATACTTTTGGTTGTTCAAGTCAACCTCTTAGTCCAGCTCAGTCCAAGAATAGTACAGTACAACATGGCGGTAGTTCAAGTTAACAACAGTTTTATCAGTTTTTCACAATAAAATGCACCTCATTTCTTTCATGTGTTTTTCTTTTATCCCTCTGGCAAAAACTAATGTTGCCTGTTTGGCTTCCAAATGAGGATTTATCTTTCGAAAACCATCTGTGATAACCACAAAACATAGCATTTTCTTTTGCAACAAATTGCAGTCACAACTGCATACAAGACGTCCTTACTTGGAAGTAATACGCGAAAAGAACAAGACATGTGACAGACACTCCCTCATGCACCCTGTTCTTTTTTTGCGCCTATTACATGTGCTATGGAGTCCTCCATGACCCGTAAAATGACTGATAATGAACACTTTTGAGCTTTCTAATTCTTGTTCCTCTACCCTGCTGTAGCTTCATCTATGGATTCCAAATTGAAGTAGTAAATGAGGCTCATACATTTTGTATTTTACAACTGTACAAAGAAACAACAGGTTGTAACGTACTTTATATATTAACTGCTGGTTAAAGCATCACAGGCTCATTGGGGCCAAACATTGAATTCAGAGTCTACTATAATTTTTTATGTGTTTGTTTTACTTTCATCTAACTTTTACATGTAGGTATCATAATCCCTTCCAAGGCAAAAAGCTGCAAAATTTATTTCTCTCTACGGTCAATGACTCAGCACAAATTGGTTACCAGATTGATATTGGTTGCTCAGGACAACTAGACAACTGTTAATTTTGAACCCTGCTGACAGCAAGTGTAGGATTTTGTCCTGCCAGGGTAATTTCTAGTCAGACATTGTCCAATGACCAGGGTTCTCATTTAGTCTTGAACTAGATAGCTAAGATATAAAAGGCATTTTCAGGCTCTTGCTCTCTCACCTTACCCTTTATTACCAAAGGGTAGGGGGTGCGAGCTTCATTAGGTAGCCATTATTTTAGCTGGTGGCTGGCTCTTAATGAGAACCCAGGGATTGACTGACTGCTATTTGAAGGTCTAATTGTTGCACTCTGATCGTGCATCAAAATGCTGCAGTCTAAATAAGAAATCAACCTGAACTCAACTTTCAAAAATAATGAAAACAATACTTTTCAACAACATCTGGGATCCAACTTACCGTGTTGGGAGTGAAAACAGGTGGCTCTGCATCAAAAGGATGAAATCTCAATAACCTAGCAGTATTTGTTGCAGAATTGGAGTAACTTCTTTTGGCTTTTTTAGCCTCTACAGGAATATCATCCTTGAATCCAGGTGTCATATTGGAGTGATGTCGCCGCTTTGGTGGTCTCTTCAAGTGTAATTCACCGTTACCGTACAACGCATCACCACTGCTTACACTCAAATTCCTTTGCACATTCACTTTTAATGAGGTTTCATGTTCTGAGCTAGGTGTTCCACTGGTTGTTGGTGATTTAGCAGTGGATGAGCTTTTAGTCAAGTGTTTCGATTGATTATTGTGGTTCTTTTGTCTTTGAATTAAATGCATGTCCACTGGTTTAGGGTACCGTCTCTCTCGTGGTGAGAAAAAAACATCATCATCAGGTACCGGAAGATATCTGCTGATATCTGTTGATGTTAAATGTTTAGCTTGATTTTTGTTCTTAGGTTTGTGAACTGAAGGTAAGTCTACTGGTTTAGGGTATCGCCTGTTGAGTGGCGAGAAAACAGTATCTTTGCCAGGTTCAGGTAAGTATCTGTTGATATCACCAAACACTGGTACTACAACTGAAGGACTGTAATTGGAAAAATACATTCTTTCATACTTGCCGGCCATTTCTCTGGTCACATTCTTTACCTAACAAATAATAAAAAAAGAATCACTTATTCAGTAAATGAAGAACTGTCACTGTATTTCATTTTTGGGGGGGAGGCTTGGGGAATTATTAATTTCTATTTAGCAAATCTCCCAAATTATTTCTAAGTGGTGGTGCAGATGTTCCTCTCTGGGAAACTTATAGAATGGGAGAATCTTTGCTGATATTAAACAATTATTGGATTTGGTTTTTGTGATATCTGGAATAATCAATGTTGAGGTAAATGTTAACAGCTGAGCAGAAGACCAAGGCTGTAACACTTACCAAGACCTTGATTATTTAGGATATCACAAAAAACCGAATCTAATAATTGTTTTATTATAGATTGTTTTGAAGAAAATAACAACAAGCACTCCATCACAAGGGACCTAAATTGATATTGTAAATGGAAATCATGCATTGTGTGCACAACCTATAGATTAGTCAGTTATCTGCTAGCAGATAACTACCGTATTTATTCGAATAAGCGCCCAACCTCGAATTAGCGCCTACCTCGAATAAGCACCCATCCTAAAGGCAGGAAAAGTTAATAAGCGCCCAGCCTCGAATAAGCGCCCACCCCCTCCTCCTCCCAATCAGACTCAAATAAGCGCTCACCCCCACCCCACCCACTTGAGTGAATAAATCCTAATTAGAGACTTCCCTGAGGACGGAGTTTTCTTCAGAGTATTTTACAGAAACCTTGCTTTGTTACTTCTTCGCGTTTTGTTATTAGCATTTATTGTTTTGTTGCAAAATAAACATACTACACTTGCTGAAAATGGTGAAAATTTAATAAGCGCCCAGCCTCGAATAAGCGCTCACCTCGAATAAGCGCCCACTCTCAAGGTCCAAAAATTAATAAGCGCCCAGGGCGGTTAATCGAATAAATACGGTAACTAATTTGTAGGTTGTGCTGATTTTCAAAATTAGCTGTAGGCTCTTAGCCATAAGAAGACAATTAATGAGCACAATGTATAATAACATTGTTTATAGGTTTGCTCATTAGGATCAGGTTAACCCGTGGAGGGCATTATTGTATTATAAATGGACATTATACTGTAATTAAGAATTATGGTAAAGAACTATGATACTACATGTAAAATGAGACATTATTTTGAAGCAAAGATAATACAGTTAGGAAATTTTTGATTTTGTTCACTTATTTATAAAAATGGCATACAGATAAACCTGAAAGCAGACACAAGAAGCATTGGCTCCAAAATTTTTTACAAGAGTAGTGTACAAACTGTATAGCCATTATTTTAGAGTGTGAAAACAACGTATACACTTGTACATTACACTTATAAAAGTTGAACTGCATTGACCCCCGGAGTAAGAGGGTATGCACCTGAGAATATCCTGTCCCAAATTTTCTAGTTTACTGACACTTTCTGAAAAAGGACAGAAAAACAATTCAACCCTGCCAGCCCCCATAGGTTTCAGATTGTTGACAGGAAAATGTAATGCACAATTCTCTCAATTAAAGGGCAATACGATAATTCTTATACAAGGTCTTATAATATTATTTTGATGTTGCGTATGAATATTTAGCTAAGTAGAATAATGTTGCTCAGGGCTCTCCTAGTGAGTTTGGGCTACCTGTGGTAACAGCACTTATGACTGACATGGCTGTATGGAAGTTTTTCATCAATTTTTGTTTTTCTCTCCAGCTTATGCTACAATTACAGGCCTGCAATTAACAGTATATTAACGGACATAGGCCGACCAAAATTTGCTAGTGTCCGATGAAATTCCACCATTGTTTGAACATTATGTACAGAGCATTTGTCTATCATAAATCACTTTACAGTTACTGTAACAAAGACTAAAAATCTACATTGAGTAAATCTTACTTTGCAATCAACAATCTCAAAGTCACAAAACAATGAAGCTTTCTTTTACATTAGTGTACACTGTAGTAAGTTCTCTGTTTTACCCAAAAGGTAGCATAATGCTTTTGTAAAAGTAGCCAGTGATTTTGTTACAAATGGTTATGGTGATTCCTGGGACTTGTGAAAAATCATGAGTCCCAGTTAAAAAAAAAATTAGTGAAATTGAAAATGCTTGGGCAGACAGTTAATCTGAAGACAGACTCCAAAACTCTGTATTACAGTATACTGAAATTAAAATCAAGTCCGAGTGGGCCGGATATTTCTACAAATACACATGTTCAGATCAATCGATCGATCTTTGCATCTATGGCACGCATGCCATGAATTATTTTGCATATTTGGGGATTTTTATGCCTCAGGGACGGAGGATGCAGAGGTAACAAAATCACTGAGTAGCAAAATATAATTGTTTTGTTCATACTTTTGAAGAGTCGCCACACTAAAATGTTGCTATGAACAAAAACAATTCACAAATTGAACACACCAGTGTGGTATTCTGTTGTAAGAATGTGCCTGAATGCATCTTCAACCTTTCGTTTGGTGTATTGGGCCAAAATTTTGTTTTGTCCAACCAAGATGGTGTCTTGGTGAGGCATCTGTCCTTTCAAGAGAAAAAATTATTTGCAGCCCTGCAATTATGGACAAAAGTGGGTTGGGAAGTTTGTATAAATTAACATCATCAAGAAGCGAAAAAAGGCAAAATGTGGTAATCTTCTAAAACTTTTGACTTGATGACTGTTGCTTAAACACACTACATATAAATGTAGGTTCATTTAAGCATCGGTGTCGACAAAGTATAGCAAAAGACAGTTTAAATTAAATTAAAACCTGAACTACATCGGGCTAGGAGCAGTTTCATAAATAATAGGAACACAAATTTTTCATAGGTTTCCCTTTTCCTGATGATCGTCAGTGGCAACGAGATTCGATTACGAAATACAGTCCGCAAACATGGTAGTTCGCAACGAACCAAATTTTAAAACGGTATTATGTTTTCAGGACAAGCGAGTTTGCAGCTACGCTGTAGAAACAGGTTTTATTTTTAGCTATAATGTAAATTCAAGTAAAATACCTTGTTGAGAAAACATTCCGTATTATAACTTAAGACTGGGGTTAATACAACTGCTAAACAATTGTGGCTCATTTCACGCCTAATTTAACCGCGAAGAAAAAAGCAATATATGTTCGTAACGATGACTCATAGGTAACCTTGCACAAATACAACAGCTCGACCACATTTCAAAACACACACAAGGATAAATAGTTGAAAATTTGTTACCTCAAAGCTTCATGAACTCCACTCGATAGACACAAACAACGAAGCAAACGAACGCCATTACTCCAGCACCACGCGCGTGGTTTGGATGGAAAACTGCTGACCAAAACGCACGGGCTCTAAAACTCAGTTACTTGCACTATATAGTAAAATCTAGAACATGCTATCAAGATGAATGTAGTATTCCATTAGTCCAAGAATTCGCAGTCGAAGAGAGATGTCACAAATTTCGGCGAAATTTATCATGACTTATTCCGGAATATGAAAAATCTAAAGCAATCTTGGGATTGGTGGCACTCGGTGAAACAAATGTTCTTCTTCCTCCACATGAGAGGGGCAGAAAATTGGAACTTGAGAAAAGCTAACTTAGATACCAACCTAGGCGTCACTCGACTCCCTTCAGTCTCATCCTGAGACGACTAGAATCAGGAGCCAAGAAATCAGTGGGAAATTTTTCTCGTCCGGATCTACATGTATTCAAAAAAAGAGAGCGGGCGGGCATTTTTATTTTTTTTTTGTTATTTCCCACTTTTTTCTTATTATTTCCAATTAGGACTTTTCTTTACAAATTATCCTCCCTCAGGGACAAGTTGGAGTTTTTCGTCCGAAGGCACCGCAACTAAAACATGTAAAACGTCAGACATTGATTTATCATCAATTTGGTACTGCAATAATCGATGCATCATACGATACAATGGTAGGGTACGTTAAAAGCGTCAAGAGTACCATTGTATCGTAATGCATCAATTATTATGCTTGTTTGAGTCAGGAAAGACCACATAGTTTTCAGTACGGAACCTGAAGCTTTTTGTAGAGTAGGCACCACCACTGATCTCAAATTATATTTTCCTTTTGTAAAGATTCATTTTCATAGTCCTTACAAGGTCTTACAATTCCCTGGTAAAAGAAAAATAAACTTGAACCAAGGTGACTTTTGGCTCAATTTTGTTCTTTTGCTATTCTGCTGGGGAAATTGAAACATAAAAATAATAATATAAACTTTCTTGTAGCCAACACCTGCACTTCAATCAAGCACTGTAATCCTGCTGCTGTAAGTATTTCTTACGTCATCAATCCTGATGGTAGTGAAGGTCTGGCCCCCTTTGTTGTCTCTTGTAACATGACAGACAAAAATGGAGTTGGTTTGACAGTTGTCAGTCACGCTAGTGCAAACAGAATGCTGGTTGACTGCTATGAGCCAGCCGGATGTCTCTCAGGAAGTATAGTAACGAGTGTTTAACAGCTGGTCACAGTGGCCGATATATCCGCACACTGCGAGCACTTCATCCAGTACGAATGTCCTGACTCACAGCTCCTCAGTGGTCCAGGCAGCATAGGTTATATGCATGATTGGTGGATATTACGCGACGGCAAGGCGATGACATATTGGGGAGGGCGGGGGATTTTACTTCTTACATGCACGCGTGAAGGTTAAATCGATCATGCCCAGATCCGCGCTATGGGTGCAATTGTGACATAAATGATTATGTCTGGCGGGAGAACAGAGAACTGCGTACAAATAAGGCTAAACTTTCTGTGATTCAACTGAGATTTGGTGATACAGGGGAAGCTGGGAACGATGAACGAGGCTACCACACCCTTGAAACTGAAGTGTTATGGCATAAATGGAGAGTGTTGCAAGTTACACTGAGACAAGTACTAATGAAACTGACAGAGTGTATCAAAGCAAAAAATCAAACGTCTTTTAAATCTGTTAAGAAACTAAAATCTGTGGTACTTAAGTATAAAATACCTTACTAGCTTAAATTGAGCACAGCTGACTTATGTTACTATTGGGTTACATGCGTAGTTGTTTTGAGAATTGAGTTTGAGTAAGGCAGGGAATTATTCCTTGTCTGGGGGCCAGTCAGGTCTTGTTATGTTGAAAGAAATTTTAGCCCGGTCATTAACTGGGAGTACCGTGGTTTACGAGATAGCAATCAAAAAGGATAAAACTCATTTTTGGTTTTTTGATTGTTATATTGTTGTTGTTATAACAAAAAAGGAAGGTACTTAACTAAAAGAAAAAACGACTTTTTTAATAATTTTTTTATTTGTTTGCAACGCAATAGTTAAAATATAAAAAAAATTGTAACATAAGTAAAAAAAGGAGAAGTAGAGAGGGGACCTAATACAAACTATAATAAGCTTAGCCTCCTTGAACCACGCTCTATAATTGTTTACATCAAGTGATGCAAACTATGGCGGAATTAAGGTCTAGGGCGGTAGAAATGATTTAAGATCGTTTTTTATATTTACTTATTAATTTAATCTTTAGCATTTTCTAAAAGGAGGGAAGGGATCGAGAGTTGATGACTTCGTTGTCAAGTGAAACAATTTTCCTTGAAAAAAGAAACAAAAGACTGAATTTTCCTGATGTTCGTTCGACAATAGGGTAGACGATAGGCCTGGGAGTTTCCATATTGTAAGAGTAGAATTGATTTGGGAGAAATTTCTATAAAACCTTAGAGGTTATTAAAATAAATTTTGCAAGAATATATAAATTAACCTAGTTGAAGCGCATTGACATGGATACTTAGAAAAGGTCATTCCCTGTCAACACTGTTCTTCTTGTTATAGTATCATTCCAGTCAGGAAAATACCCGAATTTGAACCAAATAACAACACTACTATTAATAATACCTATGCAATAAAAATTGAATAAAAACCCTTCCCCGTTATCCTTGAAAATAAGTAAAATTTTAATTTTCTTTATTCATAAGAAATAACATTTATGCGACGTATATGAAGTAGGAGGTCTCGATCAAAATAGATCAACGCCGATGACTATAAATTCAAGGGTGCAGGCCTCAAGCACCCTTAATGATTAGAACATACAAAATAGTAACGAGACTATAAACAGGGGAAGGATGAAAACAATGGATGGCAGGAGCTGGAGAAACAAGACCATCCATCCATCCATAACAATTATTTTGCAAAGTTTGTGCGTGTTAATTTCCTGATTCAAGGAAATGTCCCCTTGGGTCTAATGTTTGCTGTTACCGTAAACGCGACCCTAAATCTCTCGATTTTCCTCTCAACGACTACTACAATCCATAAATTTGGTCTCATTAAAGTTACTGCCACGATCACTCCCGTCGATTCGGAATCGTAGAATTACGTTGACGGCAAAGTCGAAACATCAGGTTTAAGTATTAAAATTACCCAAGTTGGGAAATCAACAGATAAAAACTGAAAAAAATCATCCTTACGGATAGACGTGGCATGAATGTCTTTTTTTTTTGAGTTGTAAAGATAAACATCGAACGATAAATAAAGAGAAAGCTTAGCAAAATCTTACAAAATGGCGTTAACCGTAAACGTGATTCTAAATCTCTACACCAATGGGTTTACATCGAAGTTCTCCAAGGAACTTATGGGACAGGCCTGGTAACAATTCTTTTCGGGCCGTTTCACCATCCCTGCTTTACTTCCTAAAATCCCTAGCTGATCCTTTTCTTCACTACCGTTAATGCTTTGCACAGATACCAGGAAATAAATTCAAGACTTTTTCCAGAATTTTTTCCGAAAATATAATTTCTTTTTCCAGACTCGAGGTTATCAAATAGGTCATTGATCAATAGACACCTTAAAAAACGCAGGAATAAATCTTTTTTCATGATACATGTAGGTTGAAAACATACGGGCGAAAAAAATAAGATTTGACCGAAACGAAAACAAATTCAATTATGAAACACTATTTGTTGTAGCTTTATAAAAAACTGAAGACTTTTTTCCTTTTTTTTCAGACTTTTTTTCCATTTTCCAGACGTTTTACAGGTCTGAAAATTGCTGCTCAGTACGACCCTGAGTTTTTACAAGGTATTTCACTCCATAACTTCCCAGTGTACACCCCCGTAGTGAGAGCTACTTCGGGTCCCAACTGGGATGGATTTCGATTTTCGTCACTATCCAGATCTTGGAGGTACTTCTGATAAGTGAAAGCAAATTTTTAACCAATCAGAATTGCTACCCAGATCTGGGTAGTGACGCGTCTTCATTATGGAAATTCTGAGCTCGTTTCTCAGACGTCACTTTGCGGGGAAGCCAGTGGTGGCGTCGCGAAATGTCGGTAGTTTTCTCAAGCTAGGCTGGGTCATTTACGAGTGGAAATGCCACACTGCACTTGATGCGCGTATCATGGCACAAAGGCTCTGCGTACGCGTGACAGAAATTAATGTGTAAAGATGCTAGTGTAAGGTGATTATTGGCCTCAACAATGTGCACAAAAGCTTTAAGCCAGGCAGGAATGAGGGAAGAAAAGCCCCCTTGGAAGCTTCATTATAGATTGAGCTTTTTGCCAGGGTACCGAAAACTTAGAGAGAGAGAGTGTATAGTTACAGTAAAACGACTGAAAAACGGCAGGGCCCAACACCTGGTGTCCATCTTATAGAGGTGTCCGTTAAGAGAGAGTTTACTGTATTTACTAACGTGTACAAAGACGTCCTTGGCCTCGCTTAATGGACGATTTATACACACTTTTGAGGTTTCCTCTGGGAACGTAGTTTTAGTTCTTTGAAAAGGGGAGAGTTTAAGTTTGGGTATTGGTGCGATGAGCTATAGAGATGTACACGATTTCTGTACTGTAACCGAATTGAGGCAAAAGGTTTGAGTTCAATGTTTGGGTATCGGTGCAGTGCGCTATAGATGGTCCGCATGGCCAGAGATGTACACATTTCCTTTATTGAAATCGCTTTGAGGAAAAAGTTTACTGCGAATTCCCCGCGAAGGAGAAGATGCTTGTCAAAAAGATCATGGGGCTACCTGGCTACTCCTCGTTCAACCGCCCGCTCCAGTTTGTGATTGGTACAAACTTGTACACATATCAATCAAGGAGAAGCGAAGGTTCCTTCAACACTGAAAGAAACTGAAACAGGACATCAGGTGGCAAAACTCAAACCAACCACCACTCAGACTGAAATTCAACCCAAAAGAGTTACTGACAACCAAAGGTGAATGCCTCAAGTAAGTTTAATGTTATACCTCCAACAAAATGAATAACCCCATCTAAGATCACATTGAACAGCTCGATCCCTCTCTATACTTATATCAGCCCGGCAAAGTGTCCGGTTGGAACTTCCTCTTTTTCTCGCAGAGTTTAAAACAACTCTAGTAACTCACATCCGCAATTAAAGCATGTGTTAATCCAGGTTCAAAGGAAGACACCAGTAGATTCTTTTAGCTTCAAAATAATACTTCAATAATGTGAATAGTTCAACAAGCAATAGCGCATGCAAAATTCCGTAAATTGTTTTCAGTAAATAGCGCAAACAAGGGCAGCTTAACAAGAACAAAACGTGGCAGAAACCTAACTTTTTGTTCTAACGTAACTATTTGAAGCAGATGATGGTAAGCAAGGAAAGCCTCAACGCCAAAAAGTTTATAGTAGCAGATGCTGCAATGTAGCGGAAAGAAATAGACAAATCTAAAAGCAACAACAACAACAACAGTAACAAAGTATAAAAATTTTTCGAAGGAAATATGGCTATTGTGTCCCGCTCTAACTAAACGATACACCTTCTATTGACTATTAATCAGCATTGGTTATACGTAGGCAGAAGTCAGGTTGAAACCGGGTAAACAACGTATGCCTAAAACAAATAAAAACAAACGAAAGGTTAGAAAGGAGTATTAAAACTACTCTTTTAAATGCTACAAACGTAAAAAAATGCGACCCTCGAATTGTTTAGAAACAACTGAAGATAACCCGTCTATAACACCCAACTCGCACTGTAAATTAGAAATATTTGCTCAATCAGTCTCATTGTGCCAGTTCATCCTGTGGACCCAAGATGTGACGTTTAGCCATTTGGTTTCCACTACTTTGAACAATGAAATGTTTTGCTGAATTTTCACATTGGCCAGTCTTGGGTGCGAGACGATTACAGGATATCGTTAAAGGACATCGATCCGTTGAAAGAGGAGAGAAGGAGCAAGCACTCGGAGAGATTCTCAAATGTCTGTTGTCAAAGACCAAAAGGTGTATACCGGAATAGGCACGAAGTTTTCTTTACATGACCCAACCAACGAAACTAACAACTACAAAGGTTACGATTAAAAAAACCTCTCTTACTTGCTTCTAAAACTGGCAAGACAGCACTGTCTTGCAGATTGTCCTTCCTTTGCCGACCTCATCAGCAATACAACTGCACTCTTTGCAGTGAGTTATATCCTTGTCGATCTGATTTCGAATGCTCTTAAACACTGCTTCCTCCTTCCTGGCTTCCGTTCTGTGCTGCTCTAGTCGGCTTGGAAGCTTCTCAAGCCATTTCAAATTCACGGTGACGCCCTGCGTCTGTTTGACGACTTCCACATACTCGTCGTTCTTAGGCAACTTATCTGACCATTTGGTGGCCTTGTACTCGCCTTTCTTGAGGTACAGCATGTTCAAGGCGTCCACTGCAACTGCTTTTTTGTAGCTGGAAGATAAATAGAAGATGAAAAAAATGATTGAGTAATTACAAATCATCCAGAAAGTTGGAAATAACTTGTTAACCTTCTACAGGGCTCGACTTCGGCCGTTTTATTGAGTCTGGCCTTGGCGCACTTTCCGAACAGCGGCTGATAATCGTGTCCACCCTCGACGCAGAAATTCATGTTCCAGCTATTATACAGAGGAAAAGGTGTGAGTGAAATCAACGCCCCCCAACCCCCACTGCGTTTTGGCTTGAATTCCTAGCGGTTTGCTCTTCAAAGCAATGTTTTTATTTGCATAAAATCTAAGTTTTCAATGAAATCCATGATGACGGCAACGTTGGCAACCACTTTGAATGTCGTCACAGGTCCTCAGCAGTACCATCTGCCATGATATTCATATCAAGTTCACATAGTTTCGCTCAAGTCATTAGTTCACTTTTACCCCTTCCTTTTCAAACAAACAAAACAACTCAAACACAAAACAGACCCACAAACACAAAAACACAAGCACTAAGACTTGAAAAGTCGTTATCAATAGCTACAATTTCTTCCAATGGTGAAAGACGAAGTTAACCCTTTAAACCCGAAGATCCAAATACAAATTCTCCAGACCGATCTCCATACATTTCTTTTAAAAGAATAGCTAAGAGAATTTTGTTTAAGATCAAAGTATTCTCCCTTTGGTCATCAATGTAGTAATTCTCATAACCTTTACTCTTGTTGATCTGCTGATGTTGTTAGGAGAAAATTGATGTTGGACACTCCTGGGACCTGAAGGGTTAACACTGGTAACATAAGAGAGTTTTAAATTCGAGAACGCGGACGACTACGAGGACGACATTTAATTTTAAGTTTTCTCGCCTGTTCTCTAGAACAAACACCCCAGAAAGCTTCATTGTACATTTTTTCACCACCAAACTTAGCACGCTTACTTCCGTTGAAGGAGGTTAAGCCCTCTTCCGATAGCTAAATGATAAAATTTCTGCCATTTGACAACTTGTTTTGTCTGTTTTCGCCACCACGACGTCCACCACGACAATAAAACTGGTAGTAGAATGACGACGGCTACCACATTTTCCCCCCAAAATGGCGTTGGTTCGCGCGCGTGCACTTGACTTGGTATTGGGAAAGTATCGTTCTCGCAGTCGTTCTTGCCTTGAAGACAAGAACCCCATGAGAATTACCAATGGGAATTACCAATCTTACTTTATCTACTTGCATCTCTCCCCCCCGCCTCCCCCGCAACCCTTTCACGGGTACATCATAAGTCAACAAACCACATTTTAATTATGACTGTTTTGGTGCTGTGAAAGGTTTGAACCCAGGAGTCTTCTCATAAGTAGGATCCGGGTGAATCCGGGTGTTTTGGTGCGATGGGCCTAGCGGAATGGCCATTTTTTTCTGCAAGTGGGCGGGTTGCTAACACCTTTACGCTGAGATGACTCCTTACAAATGGATTTGTTTAGAGTCATCAGAGTATATCACTGCTATTATCTCAACACCACAATGACAAATTGATAATGAGGCATTCTTTGCCTGGTTAGCTATTGTTTTGTGGTTTTGGATATTTGTATTACGTCATTTGGTGACTGCACCCGTCCGCAAACATCATTGAACCCCCACGAATCTCATAATTCCCAAATTCTCATATCTGTGACGTCACACTTTTTTCTCCATTGGCTTGATGATGTATTGTCATTGACGTTGGTCACTCTAGGGAATTAAAGGCTTAACCATCACTATCCCAGAATAAGTTAGGACGGGATGATTTGTCGCTCTAAGTTTTAAATCTGCGGACAAAATCCTATGGTGTTACCATTCAAATGAAACTTCTTTGGCAAATTTTAAAAGATATTAGGAACATTCTTGAATTTTTCATTGGCTACTGTTAGGAGTAAAATGGTTTTTAAATGTTAAATGTTACGGTGGGACCGAACAGCCTGGCCATACAGAAAAGAAGTAATGAAGTCACAAAAGCTTAATTTGTGAAATTACGGAGTCATCTGTTGGGATACTTTGAAAAACAAGATGAAAAAATACCTTTATTCAAATGTTAGATGCTACTCACCCGAAATCACCAATGACAACAAGTTTGGCGCTAATGCTCTTCAGAGCCTCGGATACTGTAAAGTTGGTAAGGCTGCTGTGGTTAAAACGGGGGCTGTTCGTAACCATGATAATAAGCTTTGTGGCGCCGGGTCTGAATGGATACTCAGATGCTTTCATCAAACCCAAGAAACCATCACTGTCTGGGAATTCTTTGTCGCTAATAACAATTACAACAAGCCTGTTAACTAAACATCCTGTTATTAAATCATATAAAGCTGGCAATAACGGTAAGTCTTTGCTTCACAGAAGATTTATTTGAATGACGAATTATCATAAGGGTTGGCTCGCCATGTTGTCGTAGGGAGTGATGTCTTTTAACAACACGCTTCTTGGTAAGGGCGATCAAAGTTAAGTTTGAATACGCGGTACTTGCCGCGTGCGGTGTTTCTTAACGCGGGAAATTTCATAGTCACCTTCTGATTGGTTGTTCTATTCTAGGCCTCAGAAACCTGAAATAAACATCTCGGTAGCTGTGATGGTCGCTTACTCGGAACGTATTGACCTTTCTATCGATATTTCCGGCAGCAAATTCAGTCCCTAAGCTTATTTTCCTCAAAGGAAGGTAAAAGGCCTCTTCACGCTAGAAAAAGACTCAATGTAGCCTGAAGTATGATGGATCTATGTATAGAGTGTTTTCACTCACGTGGCCAGCATCTATGCAAATTTATTGGAACAACAGAAAGCGTTTGCATTAGAAAAGAGTTGAACTCCCAGAGGATTGGTTGGGACACCAACATGGCCGTCGTTTCATTGTTTTGGGACACCAATATGGCCGCCGTGACATCATGTGAAAACACTCTATAAGCTCAGCAAAACATTCGCACCTCTTAGCAAACTGCATGTTCATGATGACACTATCCTTGAAGTCCTTGGCGTCAGAGAAGAATTTTCCTTTCACAGTGTGGACATGACCGGGCCTATGCACAGGGGCTTTACCGCTAAATCCGACCAGGCCAAACCGCGGGCTTATCTTGTGATTCTTCAAGAAATTGTCGAGATGATCGACCAAAATTGGCAGGCGATGGACCACGTGCTTCATACCGGGACCTTCGCTGCTAACTAAAACGACATCTACATCACTAGATGGCTCTAGCTTCCAGGTAGAGTTCTTCTTGAATACTCGTCCATTGACATCACATGACGCTGTGGATTACAAAAAGGGGAAATCCAATAATTGGATTTTCTACTAAGATAATGGGTTTAGTACAACTTTACAACTTTTTCAAACAAACAAACAATAAAACATATTTAATACGAAATGCTTCTACCCGATCGCACAAGTTACCAGAATTTTTTATTGCTTTAAAACGGTATTAGTATTGAAGTCTTGGAAACTTCGTAAATTTCCGAAAGAAAAACATTATTTAAGGCATAATGATATTGACGCGTTATCTGTAAACTGATTCTTAGAAAGTGGCCATCGGTCTTAGCTAAAATAATCTTACAAGCGTTTGTAGAAGGGTAATCGGATTACATAAACAGGATTGTAGTCCTACATAGCACTACAATAAATTTCGTATATGCTCACAAAGGGAGGTTCCACTGGTTGAAAGTTCAAATTTAACACATTGAAAGTATACATTTAACTCGAAGTGACGACTTAAATGATATTTGATAATGATATTTACTTGACTTTCCTATATCTTAGACATGGTTCTAATTTTCGGCCCTGTAGGAATAATGAAGGTTTGATTGTGTTGTGAATGTGAAGCCAAAAAATGCAACCTTCATGTAAAAAGAAAAACCTAATGGAACTCACAACACTCATCAGGCATGGTAATCTCGATTCCATGACGCTTGCATTCCCGGATGTATGCTGCAGTTACGTTGCAGTGGATAGTCTTCTCTGGGTCTTTAACACCGCAGTCAGTGTAATCTGCAACGCATGCGTCGTTGAAGTCAAGTGGGTTCACCTAAGCAATGAAAAGGAGACAAGGTGAGACTAGGAACGTTAAGGTGGCATTGGGAGGTAACCCTCTTAGTCCAGTTAAAATATTTTGATGTATTGAGGAGAACCAAGTAGGAGGGTGAACCAAGTAGGGGACTACGTGTCCTATTGTTCTCTCCCCTGTACATTGTACGAATCTATAAATAAATAAATAAATAATAAATAAATAAATAACCGCACGAAAAAAGCCAGTGCAGCAATGCATGCCTTCCGGATTCGGAATTTTGCAAAATAACTGTATGTTAACGAAAAGGGGGCAAAGAAAAGAATAAGAAAAAAAGAAGGAGAGGAAAACAGTATACCTTGGAGAAACACTCGCTCAGAGGCGAACTTTCATTCTTGAAAAGCTCACTGCAGCGATTTGTCTTCCTCTCGCAAGGCCGCATTTGTGCTTCTACACTGTTCTCCATTTTGCATTCCTCGCCTCCTGCAACATGCCACGAGTTGACAAAAACTGCAACACTAGTTCGGTTCTTTCCACTGGGTGAAAGCCAGTCATCGCTTGGTTCACCATTGTTGGTTCCCAGAATGCCTAAAGAGAACACGCTGATTCTTAGCTACACGCTGCACATTTTTGTCTTGGCATTATGACTGCCAGAGTTTCTGGGTGACAAATACTGCTAAGGTAAGTGACTTTTACAGATTTTTACTATGTACATTTTTATACGCCTGGCTTCGCGAGGGGGCAAGATAAAGCGAATTTTGTGTTCCGACTGACCTGACTGGCCAGTGGAATAGGCAGCATGAGCCTGTCTTGGCCCCCTCAGGAATGGTTGCTTTGTTCCAACACGAAAAAATTTCTTGTGGCCATATAATTGTTCTCTGATTGACAACCCTTGAATGGTCACGATGGCTAAATATCGGCCTTGTTCTGTTTTTGCGCAAAATGGAAATAATGCGACATCCAGCTATCTTGTCCTTACACTGAGTCAATACATACTGAATAACTTTCTCTGATAACTGATAGGCATATCGATCTAGATTTTGCGAAGACCTTACCAGCAGTCCTGTTGTGATAGAAACCAGAGACATTATAACTGCAAAGGAAGTGCTCCATATCACATTCAAGAGAGAAGCCCAGGTCGTTGGTCAGGTTGATATATGGCCCATCTCTGACGATGGTAGTATTCTCGAACTGTATGGGCAGCTCGTCGTACACCATTGCATGTAGCATTCTCCTGTCCTTCTCTTCCACAATTCCTTGAGACTTAACCAGGCCGTCTCGGTAAATTCGTACAACAGCATCACGAGTGATGACGGTGATCGAATCCGAGGATGCTAAGATAGTGAAGTTTCCGTCCTTGAAGTCACGTGCCACCAAGAACTGGCATTGGGATGTCTTGATGCCAGGGAAGCGGAAGTACCGTTTGTCAAAAGTGTAAACGTGGTGGCGACCAAATGTCATACCGGTCACATCTGGAAGGAAACAAATATTAGGAAGAGGTGGCGGATGACTGATTTCTTCAAGACTACACCATTGTAATTCAGCTTAGACAAAACCTTGTGGCTAAGTTTTGATGAAACTTAAACTTTGACATAGGCGTCCGGACAAGAGTCGGTGAGTAGCTAGCTACATGTAATTGCATTATTAGCTATGCACAGCCATTCAGATCCCTTATCTTTTTTGTAGTCAAAAAGGCTCGCCTTGATACTAAAAATTGTTTGTAAGGGTGTATTTACGTTTGCATTGGTTGATACTATTGAGGTAAGTGTTTTTCGTTACCTAGCGTTTTTTTAAGGAAACACTATAAAGTATATTATTTTCTAATTTTAACCTACTTAAACATACAACAAACAAGAAGAGTGACATACAATCCCGGTCATAATTTGTTGAAGCAGTTCCGGAAAACACAACATATACTTAGTCGTTCCTTCCCTCCCCCTTCCTTAGTGTTGGTTTCACACGTTTGCTTGGGCGTAAACGTCTTCCAAATCAACATTGAAAGGGAAGGGGAGGAAAACCTCGCAAGCGTTTCAAAAATTCTGACCGGGAATGTAGATGTTGGAGTTCTGGGCGGCAATTTGTATCTCGGTTGTCACACTATTCCTAGAAGAAAGGAGTGAGATTGCAAGCGCCGTCGTTACATTTGCGCTTATTCGGACTTAATTTTGCTCTGTGACCTACTTTGTGGCTGAAGCAACTCCACCATATCTTCCGGCTTCGATTCACTAATCGCTTTCAAGGTCCTCAATGTGCTAAGCACCGGAGAAATGGTCCTATTGACATACTCGCGGATTGTCTGGTTGACCCAGCACATGGTGTAGTTCAAGATATGATCAGTGATGTTACACGAGAAATTCATCATATTGAAATAGATGAACTCGGGAAGATGAGCATAGTGACAGATCGTCTCATTTACCAACGAGCCGTTGACAAAGCTGGCTGTTGTGTTGACTACAGTAAGAGTCCAGTTGTAGATTGACAGTGTCCAGTTCATGGTCGTGTTGAAGGTTACGACGGTCAGGTTAGATGTGCTGTTATGAGAGAAAGAAGCAACAACATTACGAAAATTGTCACGATTATTTTGTCCGAGATCACAACCCTTCAGAAAGACTAGCGTTTACTTAAGTAACCTCTCCCACATCTACCAACTTTGAAATAAAGCTACCATATTTCTACAGTCCCCTCCCATCACTCAATATGTAAAAGATATTATAAGTTTGTTATGTATGTCAAGTCAAAACGTTTGGTCCATGAGGCTCGTAAGGTGAGTAAAGCACTTGCTCGAACAGTACACCTGAACTTAAGTCAAACTTGGTCCTCTTCAGAAACACTTTCTACGAACACTTAACTAACACTGCAATGATTATCATTGGAAGCAAACCTTAACCTTATCTTCCCCTGATCATTAAGGTTGACCGATTGGTACAATACGTGTACCACTCAGGAGTGCTTGACTCTAGTAAACCCTTCTTCCAAATGTTTAGAACATTGTTAAAAATATAACGGCCGTTACTCCTGCTTTTCCCCGGTTTTTTGCCACTTTGTCTATTTTAAAGGCTTTCTCCATTACCTGTTCAAGAATAATTCCGTCATGTTCCTTGTGAAATTCAGGGTCTTAGCCGTAAGGTTCATGTAGGCATTGGTGACATTCAGGAAAAACTGAGTATAGTTTAGTCGCAAGAAGAGAGGATATGTTAAAGTGCTGATCATCGTTTCATTGGTGACAGTGGTATTGGTTGGGAAGTTCCTGAGGAACCAAGCCATCAGGTAAATATTCATCGTTATTGGCCTAGTCGTATAATTCACCAACAGAGGGAAATAGTGCCTCGTGTAGTTTTGCCAGCTGTGGTTTCGCATGATGCTGACTATTTCGAACATGGTCGAGTTCCACTTCTTGAGGGCAGGACGCATCCATGGCATACTAAAAGAAGAAGAAAAAAAAAGAAATGTGAATGTTATATTTTCAAAAAAAAATTGTTTAATTTTGAAGCAGTACAAAAATAAAAAGGCCATTGGTAGATTTTCCTCTGTGTATGGACCTAGGCTCACCATAACAATTTCTTCCAACAACATTGGGTTTCTCAGAATATTTCGAAAAAAGCAACTAAGCATTCTCTCAAGTAGTTTGAGAAATACTCAAGTCAAAGACCTGATGTTGTTAGCTATGCTTACCTGGCGGTTTAAAATTTAACGTTGAGTATATCAATTTTAAAACCTTCCCGAAATGAATGACCAATTTTTAGGTATTATTTACGTGTTTATCTGGTTTATCTTACCAGTGAGTCCAGTTGCTAAAATGTGTTGTAAGGTTCAGCATTTCCCATGTCTCATTCAGCGGTTTGCTGAAGTTTGTTGAAGTCAGCAACTGCAAAGTCATGTTGAAGAGCTGATGGGTCATATTATAAGTGCGGTTAATGTAAAGCTCAATGATTTCCTGCGTTGTCTTATTAACCGTAACATTAAGGACGTTCACAGTATCATTAAGGACCAAGAGAACAAAGTCAGTCACATTAACGAGTAATTCATGGCTTCTGTTCACACGACAAGCTGTCGTACGCACAGTGATGTTGTAAAGTTCTAGGGTTTTGTTCAAGAGACCCTCGATGGCAGCAAACAAAGTCGTATTAGCTGTATAGTTATGTATCGACAGGCTGATATTGATTGGGTAATGAAGGGCAGGAAGGAGCCACTCCAACGATGTATCACAGATGGTCAAGTTGTGGAGAAGTTCGTAGGTGAAGTTGAACACGCTAATGTTAAACATATCTGTGAAATTCTGCCAGACTGGATACACGACTCCGCCGAGGAAAGAAGAGCTGTTCACATAGCCAGTAATATTCACGAGTATTTGCCGGGTGATATTATACAGCATAGGGTGTGTTACATTGAGCAAGTACTCCGTGACATTGTGAGTGAAATTTCTGAAAACCAAGCTAACGTTTAACAGGGTGTCTGTGAAATTGACAGTACCGTTTAGTAACTCGATGGTTAGATTGTGAACGACAGGCAGGTAATCTCTCAGATAGCAATTGACGGTTCTGTTGGCGATTGTCAAATTTCCAAGCTCGCTGACGGTCCAGTTCAACCAGGCGGTAAAGTTCTGAGTGATGTTTCTTCCAAAAAGGGTTAGATTGTAAATATAGGTTTCGAAGGTTTGGTCGTACCAAGACACGTTCCTTACCAAGTTCGTGATATTCCCGAGGACGGCTGTTGTATTAACATGATCAGTAAAGTTCTGCAAGATGATGATCAGCTCTTCCGTAATGTTTGCCAAGCTGACATCGCTATTCTGAATACTGAAGGTTGCGTATGCCAGGTTATTGTAGAAGAGAGCGCAGTTGAGTTTGTTGCTGTCATTGTGGAAATACCTGTAGTGATCGGCAGCAACATTTGGTATGCTGCGGGATGTGACGTTTAGAAGATGTCTTGTGAGGTTGAAGAAGTTCTCTGTGATATTCTCTGTGGTGTAGTTCCACACAAGCAGCTCTTGTGTGATGTTCTTTAACACGTACTTAAAGTAGGTTCGAAACGTCGTCATGTTTACTCCATCCAATGTCATGTTTAATGTGATATTTGCCAGTTTGGTGGGAATATTGAAGGTGACATTGTTTAAGGCCTGCCAGGAACTTCTCACCGATGTCATATTGAGCACGTCGTGGATGAAGGAGTCTCCCAAGGTCGCTCTACTCCACTCCGTGTAAACCTCAGATCCATTAATCCTGTAAATGGTGTTATTAACGTGCGTTTCGTTATGCGAGAACATTTTCCAAGAATATGTTACGTTCTGTGCCGAGACATTGAAGTAGGAAATCCTCTCTGTGGCGTTGATGTAGAAACTGATCGATCCATTGAATGCAGTTTTGTTGAAGTGGTGCCACGTGCTAAGATTGAAGAACGCACTATGGGAAACGTTGCAGGTCCTTGTAACAAACTCGATGGTTCGGTTCCACATTGTCAAGTTGGAGACAACGCTCGAGTTGCTGGCAAATCCTTGCCACAGAAGTGTATGGTTGTAGACAGTGACATTAGCCGAAACATTAATGCTTGAGTTAAAGGTGCCTGAGCAGTTAAAGCTGACAGTCACGTTCGGAAGGATGTCGATAGAGACATTGACGTGGCGAAGTTCCCTGTTCCAAACGATGGTGTGATTCAAAACACTCTCGGATGTGAGGTTGACGAGAGACGTGAGGTTGAACACCTTGCTTGAATTCTGCAAGACACCGACCCAGCTGATTGTTCTGTTAGGTGTGTACAAAGAGATGTTGATAATGTGGTGTAGTAATTCTGCAGTGGTCTTGTTCACCAATGACAACTGGGCTCCGAAGGTTCGGTTCGAGAAGGTGAAATTAAACACGATGTCCTTTTTGGCTGTGGTGTTAAAGAAAGTGAAAGTAAAAGTGTTGTTAACAACAACGCGCGTGCCGTTTCTGACACGGTGCGTGATGTTAATACTGCGGATTTGATCGACCTCATGAAGCAGTTCAGTTGTAAAGAAAGTGTGATTCAGTTCTGCAGTCCAATTGCCCATGGAGAAATTAAAGTGCAGATTCTTGGTCGTGGTGGAGTTAGAGTAAGTGGCAGTGAGATTGAATACCGTTTGGTTGAGATAGGTGCAGTTGACCAGTATTCCTCTAGCAGTGGAATTTTCAAACCACGTAGTGTTCACTGTAGCAGTTGTATTCAGGCTGGTTACATTAAAAATCAACGACTTCTGTTCCGTTGTGTTAACGAAGCTTAAGCAAGTAGCCAAGATAGTAAAGTTCGATTGTGTGCCATTATAGTAAGTGCTGTTCAAGCAGATCCCTTTCTCGAGGGTGCTGTTCTTTAAAGAGCCAGACAGGACGATTGAGTGGTTCAAATAAGTTATGTTCAAGCTCACATTTCTAAACAGCTCGTTGTACATCCAGGTAGTGTTCAAAGCGATGGATCTGTTCTGGTGCGTGACATTTAAATGGCAAACCCTGATGCCGCCTGTAGCATTTGTTACAGTCACATTCAGCGAAGACGTCTTGTTAAGCACGGTGACGTTGCAGTAATAAACCGTGACGTTCCTCTCCGTGGAGTTTATATACGCCTTGTAGCAGGACAACACCTGAGTGCCATTGCTAGAAACGTTGACATGGGTCCTGTACTCGTTGGTGGTGTTCACGTAGGTGACGTTGATGGTCATGTTGTTGTTCAGGATCGGTGTGCTCCAGACTGGGCAACTCACGTTCCAAGTCACATTAGTGCTCTGGGCTGTCATGTTATGCAGCCCACGTAGAAACAGCGTCAGGTTCAATGGGCGATACGTAACGTTTAGAGTTACGTTCCCTGTCATGTTACCATTGAGGTTGAGGGTGGTGTTGAGGTATAAAGCAGAAATGGTTGCATTGTCTGTAGTATTTCTTACAGTGGTATTGGTCTCCAAGTGCCACAAATGAGTGTCATTCTGAACGAAGAAAGAATGGCAAAGAGATCGGTTGAAAAGAGTCACGTTAAGCGCAAGACCATACTTGATCTTGTGAGTCAGGTGACACTTGCGGTGGAAGTAGAACGCGGTCAAATCGCTAGTCACATTCACAGTGATGTTCACAGCCTGGGAAATGGGTACTCGGATGAAGTCGATCGAGCTCGCGTTTTCTTGGTGGGTTCCTACGCTGATGTTGAAACGATGCTGCTGTTCCGTTCGGTTAACGGTGACGTTGCAGTAGTATTTGCGCTCGAAGGATGCTCCAGGAGTGCTGATTGCGAGGATCGTCTTGTTCGTGTATTCGTCCAGTTTGGTGTTGTTGAATTCAAGTTTGAAGTGGGTCAGCAATGGGTCTGTTTTGTTAAGGTAAATGGAGAAGTTCGCAGGGCCGGTGAGTGGGAAAAACGGAGTAGTTTTGTTGTACCAAGCCACTGGAATAGAGATGTTCGAGCAGAGGTTCAGACCAAAAAGTCTGGTGCTATTGAAGACGTCTGTGGTGCATATGCCAGTCTTAGGAGAGAAAGAAAAGCAAAGTGATCATTATTATTTTGGCAATGTTTTTGGGTGGTAAAAAGTAAATGGTATTTTGAACGAAAGAGATTTTAGAGGGTGTGGGAGGAAAACGAAAATCACAGAAATTACAACTGACTAATCTCAATAACTGTATAGACAGGTTTTCATGTGATAACGTTGGCTTCCCCCAAGCCAACATAAGCACGGAAAGTCGCAAGCGAGCAAGTCAACTCTGGTTCTACACTTTATCTCTAGCAGCTAAGCTGACTGCCAAACTGGCAAACTGGCAAACTGGCATGAGAGGTTTTAATAATATGAGCGTCTAAAAACAAAGCAACAAACCGGCTGACTACACAGAAACATATAGTTATCTTGAACAATACAAGTGATTTAAAACTGATACAAACGTGAAAATGTAAAGTTGCAAGCACATACCGTGTTGCGATGTTCAACACCAAGAATTGGGGTTTTAACGTCATCAATGTGATGGAAAAGAGCAGTTCTGCAACAAAATTAAGAATACCTTGTGGTTAACGTATAAATAGTTACGCAGCTGAAGAATGACCGTCGTCAACTTTTGATAAAAGAATGTCTGCAATGCCCAAGACAAACCAGACACCGTGACAAATGTCCACAAGTGTTATCATTAGCTAGCTGAATTGTACGCATACTGTGTATATAATTATATCTCCTCCATGTCCTGTTAAATGACACTTTTTTGGATAAGTAAGAAATGACATTGTATACAGTACATTTTATGACAGTAAACAAGTACACAATTTGACTCCTACATCAGGGCATCAGTAAAATTTTAATAATTAAAAAAGAAACAAAAAAGAAAAACAGGAAACAAAACGAATCTCCGGCGAATAAAACACAATATTAGAAATGATGTTACTTCATTTAGGTAAAACCGTAGTTTAATCTTACGTGATGTTTAAGATTTCTTGTGGTTTTTCAGTGACATTGATATGTGACTTTAGTCCATCTTTCTCATTGTAAGTCACATTGCCTTGCATCTCGGTCGAGGTGGAGATGGACTCATTCAGCAGTACACCAGAAGAGCAGTGGAAAGCATCCAAAGTAAGCTTACCAGAAAGTACGATGGCAGCGCTAAAGGGAGAAACAAACAGAAAACAATATACCTCTACTTGTCCTCTGCCTTTCTTACGTGCCATTAATTGTTGAAACTTTTTACTTGATAGGTATTTGTTTGCCAGGACAATTCCTAAGTGAACACCTCCCCCCCCCCAAAAAGAAAACATTATATCTTCCTCTCCTTAAAAAGCGATGGTAATTTAGTTATTTCTCACATTTACAAAAAGGTAATTTCGAGGAAAGGCGTCGAGAAAGCAACTGCACAGCACACGTAGATCAATGAGGCATTTCTTCAGGCATTACCTTGGTTTAATGGTTCCCTTGACAACTGCACTCTTCTTTCCCCAAAACATATTCAAGAAATCAGCTTTACCCTGCACGTGCATACTGCTGACAACTGTGCCATTGAGACTAAGGTTTAGCGGTATTCCAAGGCCAGTTGGAACGACATAACTTTCCTCCAAAAACAAAACGCTCTTCGTGTAGGTTTTGTCGATTCCTCGAGAAAGGGTTCTTAGTAAATCAATAATATCGGCCAGCGGTATATCATCCTCCTCAAGCCATTGAAGGTCTTTCAAAGTGAATAGATTGAGTTCGCCACCAAAGAGTTTCATGGACAGCAGAGCGCTTGGAGTCATGGTCCGCAGATTAACCTGTACATTACGCAAAATATCACTTCTTGTAAGATTTGCTGAAGTGCAAAATGTAGTTCACTTTTCTTTTACTCTCTATTTGGTTCAATTTGTTAGGTTTTTTTGGCCTTGGGGACAAAATACGTAAGCGTGACTTAACAAATATCGATAACACTATGTAGATTTGACCAAAGAAGAAAGTGGTCTTTTGAATACAACAGTATAAACATTTAACTGAAAACTAACGCGCTGCTCATTGCCGTCGGACGTGTTACAAAGTTGTTCAAGGTAGAATCTTTGATGCCTGTATACGGACACCACCATCACCCAGTTAATAAAAGCTATTGTGAGCACCATCCCTTGTTTGTGTTTCGCTTCCTTGCGCAACTACAGCCGAATCTTAGTTGCCAAATAATACATCAATACGGCAACATTAAAACTTATGATTCTCACCCGACTACCTCGTTTCCAGGGTCCTCTCCTACTCGTCCCCTGGGGACGAGTAGGAGAGGACCTTGGGAACGGTTGACTCTCACCTTATTATCTAGGGATTCAAAATCAAGGACGTTGTCTGTACTTCTCTTTTCCAAGTTCTTAATTACGTTTTCCTGTTCCTCCGGTGTTCGCACAAGTCCCCGGATGTGGTTATCGGGAAAGTACCCTTTATGTCCAAATAGTTTTTCCCAGATGATCTCTAGTCCTTCAAGCCGCGTACTGGTCTCCACAACAGGAAAGGCTCCACCCCACAAGTCAAGAGTAACGTTCAGTTCTGCGCTTCGGGGTAAGAGGCTTTCGGGGTGATAGAAGACGTGGCTTTCCGTACTGAATCCAAGATTGCTTTCCTCTGTAGAAGAGTAAGGACGGGATTACAAATACACGGCAATAGGTCATAGAGCAGCAAGAAAACGTTAAAAAAGTAATAGAATGGTTAACAAAGGAAAGCGGGATCTGTGAGCATCCCCGGTAGATGCAAGGAGCATAGGTGTGTATGTAGCACGTGACTCCGCATGCGAGTGCACTCGAGCTGTCATTGATGATTGAGCCATAGAACAAGTTCTTACTAAACGTACATGTACACGATAAAAATGTGTCGCAAACGTGATGTGGTCGAGTGCGGACGTCGTAAGTATGCGAAGGTTCGACTATGAGATATAACATTACTACCGTAACAAAAACAATTTCTTTCTTTCCGCACTCAAAGAGTAAAACAAAAGACAAAATGAGTCTAAAAACATATTTTCCAGTGTTCCAGAAACGTACCATTTAAATAACTCCTTTGCATAAAACGGGACTTGAATGATGTGATGTTGAATTCACGAAGAGGAGTTTTACGCTCCTTCAAAGCGCTCTTGATCATTTCACCAAGTCTAAAGGAAAGAAAGGGGGGGAAGTAGGAAAGATTAATTATGGAAAAGACCACGAAAGTTCAAACTTTACGTTTTTGACTCTAAATGAAACGCAGACCTTCCACATTAATAGTTTTCTCCTTTATCACGAAGCATGGATCAGGAAAAAGCTGTCTTTCTCTCGTTTTCAGGATTTATTTAAAGTCAACTAAGGAGGGCTTCCTCACCAAAGCAAAACACCTTTCATGTTCTCTTAACGGAGTGTTTCAGCTGGCAAAAAGGACGCATTCCTGGATTTGAGTGGCCACAAAGACTCTACAGTGAAACCAGTGGCCTAAGACTTAGAGTTCTGCTTGAGCGTTGAACACTTTGACTTCACTTTCTGATCCTTAAGAGTGGCGATAATGGACATGATTTTTTTGTTCTATTTGTTTAGTGGTGCTATGCGCCTACCTTTTTCCGTACGTAGGCTCAACAGACTCGTTCATCTGCTTGAGATGGGAGAACACAAAAGCGCCAACTTGAGTGTTGACTTCTTCGTCCAGCACCTCTGCTACATACTTCACTATAAGCTCAGAGGGATGCATCATCAAGGCCAGGTACGCCTGCAGCCGAATCTCCGGGTCCTTTCTGTAATCACCAAACACCTCTCTCCTCAAAATTTTCTGCGTTACCGCGCAGAAGGGGAGGCGTCGGATGGTTTCTATAGCAACCACGGAAACATTGAGATAATTAGCACCCTGTGAGCATTCCACAAGCTTGACAGGTTTGGATCTCATGCGCCCAGCGTTGCCGATAGCCTTAAGGCTTATAATGAGGTCATCAACCGTATCAGGAGTAGCATCGCAGTGTTTTGGGAGTTGCTTCTCAAGAAAGTCTACTGCATCCATGACCTCAGTGTCCTAAGAAGAAATTCGCAAAATGGTGAATCAAAGTTATTTTTGCGAAATTGTCGACGCCTTTGTGAAATTGTCAAAACGAAATATAGTGTAAAAAGCTTTTTATACGTCATTCGGTAGTCAGTTTGGATGGGTAGATAATTATTGTACTTGCTTAATAGGGTAAAGCTAAGTTCCTAAGCTTCCGTGCAAAAAATTTGGAAATGACAATTCGGCAGGCTCTTTCACGCACGCTTCGTACAACTTTCGTTAGCCTTCTGATAGTTCTTTATCTGTTCTCAGAATGATCTCCTATACAGTCTTCAGTAAAAGAAAATACTAAAGAAAACGAACTTTACATTTTAATTTACATTCACTTTACCAAAACTTACAGATTTACTAGTGCATTTCTGTGGCTCCTGATCGCAAAACTTTCTAATCATGGTACCCAGAGACAGCAACATAGTTTTGGGCAGATCCTTCTTTTGTTCCAGCAGATCCTAAACAGACATGCCATCAAAGTCAATGTAGTGTTAAGCATTCGAAATTCATTTACAACTGAATGAAGCTATGCGAGGGACTTTTTTAAAAGTGCAAGGAAAAAAATTTTACTTTTTCAATTCGACAAACAATCGTGAAGACAAGTAATGTAGCTCCAACTTTTGACATGTGAAGTGACTTATCAAATTAAACCTCTTCGCCAGCAAGTAAAACGTGGAACTAACCTTGCTTAGTCCCTTGGCTAAATTAGCTCGGCCTGTCACCCGTGCAGGGACTGGGCAAGAACTAACCGCAACTCTTCTGTATTTTATGATATAAAATTTGAGGTTTAAGAAAAAGGCACTCTAGGGAAAGTGTTTACTTTCAAGTAATACATCGTTTTAATTACAGTTTTTCTTAGTTGATCCGAATGTGGTTTTCCAGTCCGTCTATGGACGAGGGAAAGAGGCTGTGAAAGAAGAAACTACTATAAACACTGAAGTACAAACTTACTAAAACTTCGATGAAGAGCATCGGCGATGGTTTGCGGACTGCACTCATGCCAGACAATAAGGCGGTCACGTCTTCAGGTTGTACTTGATCATAGTCCCGGATTGCCTCGATAACATATTGCATACACTGCACAGTCCCGCATTGAGTGATAGCGTCAATCACGTACGACCTGAAATAAGGGAAGACATGCAGTGACTTTATTTCATTTCCTGACAGGCATATCCTGATAAAATTGTTTCTTTTTTCTCTTTTTTCTTGGGTCTACAACACGCCGTACAGCACATGAATAAATATGGCAAAGGCAGTGTCACATTTAAAAACTGATATAACTAACGCAATCGTCACTATTCTTTGCGCAGTGACCACCACCTTAAAGCCATCAAAACGCTAAGGATACACTCACCAGGGCGATAATATTCCACCTAGACTTATCCAAAAACGTTTAGTTATTGCAATGGAAATAAATAGCTCTAAGGCAAAAAACATTATGCAATCATATGATTGGCCTATTGGAATATGTTAAGATTGGCAGTGAAAGAGTAAAAGCAAGTTTAAACCTAAACGTTCTCGAGCAAACTATAGATCTCTCCGTCACCCGTGCTTATTTCATTTTGTGCGTGGCAGGCGTTGAATGGGGTAGTGCAGAAAAGGGCAAAATGGCGAGGGAATTCTCCCCTCTCTGTCCCCCTTTTTGCGCCTTCCACGCAGACTGGTGTCTTTTAGGATCACACAGAAACTTACTGGGCTTTCTTGCACTGCTTGTCTGTGAGAACTGTTTCAAGGTCATCGCAGTTGTAAAATGTAGTCCACATGTCCCTCAGCGCACTCCTATCCAGTTTCCGGATCGCGAAAACAAGGTTGGTGAACTTGATTGCAGTGATAGGTTTGCTTTCGTTGATGGGAAGGACCGTGACCAACTCTTCGAGCAAAGCTTTTGCGTGCTGAGAATTCTCGTTAACTATTTCGGATACCTCGTCTTTCCGGACGCTTTGCTCGTATAAGAGGCATGACTTCCGATGCTCTGTTGAATAAAGATAAGGTCAAAGACCTGAACTGGTTCGAAAAGCCCATTAGCTCCTGGAAATTTTACCTTTGAAGCTACAATGTAGTCGAGACGTTTTCTTGTCACCATCAGGACCCAAAACGCTGTTTATAAGTCGAGCACTTCGCGGTCTATATAGTTGGGTTTATTGATTTCGCTTTTATCCTTTGTTGGGCATTTACTAGGCTTCTCTTTGGTAGAAAAAGGTGTTGGAAAACTTTCAGAATCGTAGGATTATACGAAATCTAGTGCACGTGGGTTCTGGAACAAGAAATGTGTTGGATGTGTCGAGTCAACTTTACACGTCTTGGGTGTGTGTGCGTGTGTGTTTTTCTCCGAGCTATTTGACTGAGCTGTGTTATTTCGGGTGAAAAATCTCTTAACCCCTGCAAAGTTTGATATCAAAGTTCTCTGTGACGTTAAAACTCATGACGCAACAAGCGCTTCAAAAAGGACGTGGATTCGCACCTTACAGGCGGGTGAATGGGTTATTGTTACTATAAGACTAATAGTTTTATTCCTACCGGTCCAGTCGGGGCTCGAGAAAAAATTCGAGTTCCACTCTTCATCTTCTAACGTCAAATTCATCCTGCAATTACATTTACCATATCAAATAGATACATTGCTAAACTGTACAGTCATTGAATATCAAGGCAGTATCAGTAATGAAATTAGAACATGTTTGCAACTCTCAATCCCTTTCCTCTTAAGAAAATACTGAAGATTAAATTATTAAGTAAATATGAAAACCGTTCATAAATCTTTCCATCTCTTCGCCATCTTTTCTTCAGCCCGTAGTTCGAGGAGGCCTAACCTCTCAAAAGCTCCTACAGTTTCTGTTGGGTCTCCTCGCTACTTTTTTTTCTACTTTTCCTATATTATTTGCAATTTCTATTATTGTGTGGCAAATAAAATGAAATAAAAATAAAGAAAGAAGGATTTGAAAAGCGTTACACTAAGTATGCTTGCGTAACAATCGTTGTTACGCCAGCTCCCGATGAAACGCAACAAACTGAGGATGATATTTTATATAACGAATCCCCGCATAACGGACCACATTTCTAAACCCAGTTATAAACGTACCCTAGTTACAGTGATATATCTGAAGTTCCAATGTGCTAACGTGTAGCACTGATGAAACAGGGATAATCAAGCCATCTCACTAACAACTGTAATGCTACGCGAATTTAAAGCGTCACAATAAACACTTACGTGACATTAGTCATGACACCAGCATCCTTATAGCTGAAAGGTCTCAGGAGATGAATTTCATTACATTCTACGGTCTTTACGTGGGAGTTTACAATGTAACGGCAGAAGCTGGTCGAGTTAAGGGGACCTTGAATGGTCTAAAAAACGAAAGTGGGAGTGCTTAATTAGAAACAAGTCATCAACTTTTGCTTTCTAAAACAAAGAATTAGTAGAGCTATTTACTCTTAGCTTTGTACTCTTATCTGATCTTCAGACACAGAGAAATGAAAAACAAGAGGCTCGGCAAGTTTCAAACACTAGACCCGTCACCGTCAAGGTGTTTGTATGTAGAAAGCTTTTACATGACGTCACGATAGCCATATTGGTGTACACAAAACAGTGAAAAGGTGGCCATGTTGGTTTACCAAATCAGTCATGTGGGGCTTGACCTCTATTTTCATGTAAAAACTTTCTTGAGTCCGGGAAATTTGTATAGCTACTGTTCACGTAAGTGAGTCCCATATTCAAGCCAATTGATATAACTTTACACCGCTTAGATGAAAGGCTAATCTTCAGAATTGCACGTTTTGATCCATGTTGAAGGTCAGTTGAAGAGAATCACACCTAGTAAAATTCCTTAACGCCCCACAGGTTACAAAAACTGGGATTTAACAGTTAAAAAAACAGTAGATTTAATGCAGGCTTCCGCAAAAAATAAAGTCACAACAACCACTTCAAGTAAAAAGCACTGAAACAGTTCAGGGGCCAAACCAGGGAACTGGAGAGAGAGTTTACCCAAGGAGGGTCCTTTCGTACATATGTTAAAGGGTTAAAATGAGTTGGAGATTGAAGGGATAATTATAGAGGGCACTGAGTACTTACTGAGTTCACGTTGTAAGGGACTGGGTTGAGCTTGGTGATGTTGTGCGTTCGGTTGGTGCATTGAGATAGATTCTTGATCTTGAGGATTTCTTTGTCTCCCTCGTCAGATTCCCTGATAATCTTCAATTCAGTTGAGCAGTTACCGGATACATCAACCTGAGAGACAAAACAGGGCTCGTTTATTTGCCTACTTATCAGTGCAAATGGAACAAACGCATGGTTACCAGTACTCAGTGAAATAAGTTATCACACTAGACCTCTTTACAGTGCGCCTACTCCAACTGGGGCACCTGGAAGAAGATTATCCAATCACAACGGGTTTTGAAAACAAAAGATTCTCAAGTTTTCTTTTGAAACAAACCAATAACATTCAAGGTTCAACCATGTAACCGTTAAAAACTTTAAAACCCTTTGAACTTACATGACCTCACAGGACAGCATCCATGTGCGTTATTGGTCCGTTCGCAAAACAACTTGAGAATCTTTTGTTTTCAAAAACCGTTATTGGATAATCTTCTTCCAAGTACCCCGCTTTGAGTAGTCGCACTGTAAAAAAGGTTTGAGCCTAACTGACTTGAAAAACCTGACGGGTTAACGGGCTACAGGTCACTGCACATGAAGTCCTAAGAAGACTTTGCTGGCATTTGACAATCCCTTTGTTTCCACCTTTGCTTATTTGGAAAAAACCCGACAGTGCGACCACTTATATGGAAGACAGCCAGACGGGAATCCTTGCGGATTTTTTAGGGGGGTTTCCAACAGTCAGAACTGGCCAGTCGAACCATGGCTGGACCAGTCATTTTGACGATGAAATAGGCCTTTTCCACGAGTTTTTGATGAAAAATCGTCTCCTTCGTGCATACTACTTAGGATTTGACTGATATGGCCGAATAATTTTGATTGAAAGTGAAATTCTTATTACGACGGGAATGGTCTGGCAGGTAGGTTCTGACAAATGGAGGGCACCGTTAAAAAATCCTTTCTTAGTAGTAGGTACACCTAGAGAAGTGTGTTCCCCTAGGTACTGGGCATTCTACTGCCTGCAGCATGCAAAATCAGACTCGTACCCAGTCGCTTCTCTGTATTCGCGCTGTGATTAGTGGAGGAAAGGGAGGCTCCTTCCCAAGCGCCTTTGCGCGCATCAAGTTGCCTTACCATATTCCTTGGCCACTGGCTACGATTCTGATGAAAAATTCTAGCAATGACATGTGTTCACAAGAAAATGATCAAGTACCTCTGTGAAAACTTTTTGCTGTTCCTCTACGGACTGCAGCTGAAGAGCACTTAAAATGCCACGTTTGATGTTTGTTACGTACAGAGGCTCGGAGATATGTGGCCCTACGACCTCGAAGCGGCGGTTGTTTTCCGTAAACAACAAACTGTTTGCCTCCACATCCTTCTTGAAGCTCTCCTGGTTTGGAGATGGCTGAAATTTGGTCTCATTACCAGGTGTAGCCTCCAATAATTTCACCTCAGATACCTGTGAAAGGATATGATGCAGCTGTCAAAACTTATTACGAAATTATCTTCTCATGTTTTATATTCCAGCTCTTCAAGGACTTCAAGGTGAAATGATGCGTGATTATATCGGACCATTGCGCCAGTAACAAATGACGGATCAAATAATGGCTTCAATCAGCCATGCTAGTATAAAACAGACTTTATCGACTGCGGTATTTTCTTACGTTTTCGTGCAAACCTCACAGCATAGTCTATGACAAAGAAAACTATATGCTAAGGCACCAAAGAAAAAATTATTAATTATTATACAACAATTCTTAGCTCAAGTTATAAAGGAACGTACATTTCACAAGCTGCGTCAAATGTTCCTAGCTTCGGGTCACTGTCAATGTTTTGAAAATATCTAGATCATGCTTAACTAAGTTAAACCTTATTTGTTATTTCAGATCTGAAATGACTGCAAGAAAGCTTCATATGGCCGCGTCAGGATATGTCCTATAGTGGACTATACGGGGATGAAGGCTCTCAGGCAACAAGAAATGCCGTTTACTTGTGGTTTATTAGGGTCTCAAAGAGGCGCGCCTGATTCAAGTACTTTAATTTAATCAATAAAAAAGCGAGATAACGTCAGCTACAAGTTAGCTTAAACGTGTTTATGAGCATATAAAGGGTAACATTAAAGACTAAACTAACAAAGCTGAAAACATACAAACCCTGAGTATACGCTGGCAGGAATAAGAGGCCTCGATCTCGCATTTAGCCTCGATCCTAAGACCAGTGGTCTCATTGGTTGTCCCAGTTACGCCAGTCAGGCTGGTAGCAACATAACGATAGATGTACCTGGTGTTAGGAAAAAACCGCGTCTGGCCTGGAAAGGAAAAAAAATGACGTAAAGGTGAAGAAACAGAGCAAGCCAGAGCGTCTAGATTGTTTAAAAGATGTGAAATAAAAGATGAGAAATACAACACCGAAAGAAGGTAAGTTAACTTTTATTCAAAAATTAGCGGGTTTTTTTTAATTAAATCACTGATTAAATCAGTCGCCATCCGTATAACCTTTGTAATCTTCGACCTGACTGTGTAACACAACACCTCACATATGTTTGCAAGCTCATACATATGCATCAGAAGCATATAAACATACAATCCTCCCGTTGAACGACTTTGTAACAACACACCTCACAAATGTTGTTACTGGTTTTTATCGCCTATTGTCTTCTAAATCGAGCTTGGGGCGCCTGCGTTTGAATGGAAACACATCCCACATTCCGAAAAGTTTAAAATGACACATAATCTCTCCATAATGTGGTCTAGCGGTAAAAGCTTTAACCCTTTCAGTGAGTCCAAGAGTGACCAGCATCAGTTTTCTCGCAACAATATCAAGACATAATAAAGAGGAAAGGTAATGAGAATTACTGAAATGATCTTCTTAGGGAAATTCTAGTTCGGAGAAAACACCTGGTTAACCAAGTTGTTGCATGACATTGGGATAAGATGACAATAAAAAATGAAAAGATTCTCAATATCCCATGTACCTGGTTATAGGAAATTAACGCTCTATGAAATTAAGGTATTGGAAATTAACGCCACTTAAATTAACGCGAATTTAGTGGAAAACGACTTTCAATAAAAGAAAATTAACGCGAAAGAGAGGGAAACATTTTAAAGTGAAGGGAATTAACGCGACGTCTAAGACAACAGGAACGAAGATTAAACCGGTAAAACCCGAAACGGAAACTTTGTTCGTGATTCTTCCCTTAAACGTTAAGCGAAGAAATCTGGCCACTTCAAGTTCTTAACAATTTCACTGTTTCTGGAGGATCTCCAACCTAATAAAATAGTCATTTTTCTTAGGTGTCAATTACGTCAGAATTTATTGAGAATTTGGGGTCAAAAACATGGAAATTAAGGTCGCGGAAATTAACGCTATGCTTAATTAACGTCGATGAAATTAACGTTTACAGAAATTAACGCGACTAAAATTAGCGCGAATTATTGAACTTCGCGTAAATTCCATGAAGCGTTAATTTCCTATAATAAGGTAATAGTTCTTTTTGCAGTTAAGACGTTCAAACTAAAGGTTAAACACAAGACACGTAAACATTTTCTTGAATATATTCCGAGGGAGGCCTGACAACCGAAGAGTGGAAAACCAAAGAATCTGGACGCGATTCCAGCTAGTAGCAGGGTTAAAGGCTCCTGCAAGTAGCCAGTAGTGCGTAACCAGTTTTTTAAGTTTTGAAACACAACTCAAATTTCAAACTCACACGGAAAACTGGCTTCCCATGTTCTCCACAGAAGTGGCCCGTTGTTCTATCTGATGTATAACTTGTGCATATCAGTGAGTTGAGATTGATCTGCCTAGTTTTGACCTCTCGAAGTGGGAGAGTGAGAGGGCTTTGGACAGGCTATTATTAGTAAACGCTGTTGCCGGCATGGCTTATATAAGGGATCGGAGTACCCGACCTCCTTGCCCTCTCCATTTCCTCTTCAAAAGTATCATAAAAGCAACGAAAATGAACCAAAATTTTAGAAAGAATGAAAATGGGACGCAGGTCCCCCTTCCCTCAAGTCAAGGATGAAGGCCGCGCACAAGGACCAAAATGCACCGCCTATCCACGAATGTTTTTCTTTGGGGGATAAACATATTCCGCCTTTTATCCAAGAGCGCAGCTGCCATTTATCCGTGCTAGATGACTTCGTTGTTCTTGGTAAAATGCAGCCGGATGTGGATTGTGTTTTTAATCGTGTTGTTTTACACGATAAGCCGGATGACCTTGACTTTATAGAATAACGGACGTCAAACGAAGGTTTCGCGGTGTTTTCAAAAGGTTGCCCCTCCCCCGACACTCCCCCAAAACGATTAGTTTTTTTTCGTAAAGGGTTTTTTATTTTTTAGTTCGCTTGTTTTAAACTGTAGACGAATCTTTACGCCGCAACACATAATCAAAGCCAGATCGCTTATGGATGCTCGGAAGAGAAAAGAAACGAATAGCAAACACATCGAAGCTTTATTTTGAGATTAACGTTTGATCTATTTTGAGAAAATGGAAGTAAACGTCGAGGGCTCAAAGATTTGCAAGCCTTTTAGTGACCTTGAATACCAAAGGATAGCATTTCAGCTGAAATGAAAATATAGATCTGCTTTTTATCCACTAATATCTCAAATCCGTTTACCACCTGTAATAGCACACTGAATTTTTCACGTGAACCACACGAACCTTGTTCTGCATTGTCATCCAGCGAGCAAGGTAAAACCAGCTTTATCCGCAACAAAAGGACCGGAAATCTCAATTAACAAAGTCCTTTTTCATTAAAGAGATGATCAAGTGAACGAGGGAGGTATTAATTGATAATGGTAGCATGCACGAACGCATGGGTGATAAGAGGTGTTCACGTGCGTACTACATAGCATTCAATGTAGGGGGTCGGGAATAGGATGGCCTTTACTAACCTCGGAAGTCCAAGCTTTCGAGGTGATCGCGAAAAAATTCCTAACGGAAACGGGCTCTTCTCCATTTTCAACCGGTAAAGGATTTAAAAAGTTACATCGCATGTTTGAATCGACTATCGCTTTGCAACCGGGTAAAGATTTTTATCCTTGTAATCGAACACTCTTTAGTAGAACAATAGAAATGGAGTGTGGTTATGGTAGACAATGAGCAAAGCTTTTTTGGGACAAAAAGGGAGATTGAGAGATAAACCGCAATTGTAACGAAAACCGAGTGATAGAGGATCTTTGAAAATACGATTTGCCTGCTTTTGCTGGAGGTTTTCGCAAAGTTACCTCTCAAACTGTTATTCCACTGAAAAATGCCTTTGGTATTTAAAACTTGCCCTTCGGACAGCACGATAGCAAGAATGGAATCAAAACCCTTTTTTACCCTTCTTAAAAATCAGAGGTGCAAGAGCAATTAATGACGTTTTTTTACAGAATATTTCAGCTCATCCATTTTCTATTAAAAACCTTTCTAACTGCCTCGCAGAGAAATGATCGTGTGCAGGTAAACCAGGTTAAAGAAAACTGAGTTCTACAGGGAAAACAAAATCGATGGGTGGTTAAAAAAGCCCGGGGGGGAATCCGCATATGAAAGGGGTGGGGAAGCTCGTCGGAAATTTTTAATTAAACCCCTAAAGGAGACCCATCTGGGCGTGCCCAAAGCTGTTTTTGGCCCCTAAAAGAGACCATGTTAAAACACAGACAATAAATATATTTTTATTTCATTTCGCGTTCAATCCTAAACGAAATCTTCACTGCTAAATATGATGGCGTTTTGCCCAGAACACCCTAAGTGAGACCAACAACCGAAATTTACACCCCTAAGCGAGACGACGAGCATCCCCACCCTTTTCATATGCGGAGTCCCCCCCCCCGGGAAAAAGGTCACAACTATTTTTCGTACCTGTCTCGCAGTTCTCCTCAGAGTTTCTCCTGACAGGAACTGCAAAGAAAATCATTTTCATTTGGAACATCAAGGGAAAGTGCTATTAAGTTAATAGTTTCTAGAACACATAGTGAGAAAATGGCTCTTCCCTGTGCAGTCCAAACTTTGCATAACGCAGAAATTGAACACCACTGACGTTGGGAACGAAGCGGAAAATTTTTGCCAAACATTTAATCTTTTTTCAAGGTGACAACAATTTACACCTTGGAATTAGCTTTTAACTTGTTTTCTCCGCAAAAAACAAAAGAAAAAAAGAAAATTTACTTGCTGAGCAAAATGTCACTACCGCGCACCGTCAACATTGGTTATAGCTATTTTAAAAGACCTGGAAGTCTTTGCAGTAAAACAATGGCAAGTACCGATTAAATACATTTCTGAAGAAAAAAAAATGAAAGACAGGGATTGGTCTTACCGGCCAGCACACTGCCAACAAAAACGCAAGCTAACAATAGCTTCATTTCGCCTGATATCATCCAGATCGATGCTTCTGTAGTCTCTGAATGAGCTACTGAGCACAGAGTGGAAAAATCTGGGTCTTATATTATGACAAGCCCGCGAAAAACAATACTTGACTTTTCACATGACAGGTGAAAACAATATGCCTGTGTAACAAAATACCGAAGCTACGCATTTCCTTTTTAAAACATTAACACTGAGCACCCGGTGATACTGGTTATCGACGGGGGTACAACGCCAACCAAATTAGCCTGTTCCAGGCGTTCAGATAGTGGGGAGTACTTTTTATCGCTTTCTTTACTTCGCACCGCTCTCCACTATCTGAACGCTTGGAACAGGCTACAACCAAATGAAAGAGATTTGCGGCCTACGGAAACCCTCACCTATTTTTACAACAAATTACGCAATTATTCTGCTAATTTTTTAACCAAAAATAGGTGATTTTCCAAAAATTGACAGACCTGATATTTTAACTGACACCCGTTTGCGACCGAAACGGCTCAAAAACTGCACATTTTGTGCTGTACGTATCCATGCAATTACAAGGCGTACCCCCTACCCGGATATACAGCTCGTCCTGCGTGTGTACCAAACTGTCAAATGAACTTCAACGGACGTAGGCAAAACGGAGACACGATCGAACACGATTATTTCTAGATAAGTGAAATTCGTCCTGGGGATTCTTCCCTTAATCCATCCCGTGACTCGAACGCGGGCCCAAACCATGGACCATTCAAGACTTATTTCTTAGTACAATTTTTATTGCTATGCTCCGTTAGTCAAAAGGGTCCACCATATAGGTGTCATGTCTTTCCCTGCCAGCATAGGCCGCAAAATACTAAGGTAAACAGGCCTCTGCTAACAGGGAAGTTTTCTCTTTGTTAACAAGTTCAACTTCACTTCCGGCCTTTGGATGTATTGGCACGCGCAAGAGGAATGCTTACGCAGCGAAGAGAGCTCAATCAAGTAAAACATTTTAAAGACAACTGTGGACTGGACTGCCGGACTATGAACTAAAGAAGAAACTGTCTACCTAATTAGATGAAATTTTCGCAACACACTAATTTCGAGAATTTCGCGATACAAAAAGAGTCGCGAACAATAAGTCTCGCGAATATAACATGACGCGAAAATTAAGTTACTCACATTACGTCAAAAATCAAGAAAGAAGGAGTTTATTACCACTGAAACGTTTATAAAGGGAATATTAAAAGGGTGTAGTAACTGGAAGCGAAGTATTATCGCCCGTTGACCCTTATCAAGACATTTACGCGAATGCCTCGTGAGACTTCTATTTACGTTTCTAAAGTGCATTGTTACTAAGCAGCATCATTTTTTCTCGAGTCTGTAAGAAGGCATTTTCCATTGTGGTCAATTGACTCAAGAACAAAAAAATTCACGTACAAGCATCAACTGCTTGTGGACATTGTGAGAATTACTGCCTTTGTTGTTACTGTTGACATTTAGTCCCGCTGTTGCCTATTTCTTAATTTTGACGTAATTTTTCCTTTGATAAAGACGTTTTATTTAACTCAAGGACATGTTAAATATCAGTGCCAATGAAATGTAAATTGTGGTACTCAAAAAAGCGAAATTAAAGTGATTCAAAATATCAAATGTTCACAAAATCGCGAAATAAACATGTCGCGAAAATTTCACGTAAGTATATAAAAGTATGTGGCCAGGCGAAGACAAAAAAAAACGGAAAAAACAGGAACGTAGAGATCGAGAAGGTTCTTACCCTGACTGCGAAGTGCTATTTGTTGAGACTTGCGTCTCCTTGCGTCTCAGTATTCCAAACTTGTTGTTTGGAAGTGTTGGTGGTCTATCGCTATCCATCCATTTTACAGTGTTAATGAGTTTTGGGTCTCTTATCCCAAATATAAAGTAATTATCTGTTAAGGAATTGATCATAAAATTTATCTTGTCTTTCTTTTGAACAAAGAATTAATTAAATTCACATCATCATCCCCTTCTTAGTTTGTTGTACGCATTTGCAATAGTGTAGCTTCTACGGTCATGCAGATAAAGCTTGTTGTTGTTGTTTGTAACTTTCCTCAGTTTCCTTTTGATTGGGGGCCAAGATTAAGCAGGCTTTTGATACTAAAACGAAAGGTCTAACTCAGGCCCGCAAATTACTGCACTGTGATGTTCGTGTGCTCAGTTTGATCTGTGCATTGTAATCGATGTGGTTTATCTACATTGTATAGATTGTAATGCAAAGGCGAATAAAATCATCTCCGATGTTTTACGTTCTCTAAACAGAAGGAGTTCTTTGTTGTGGCCAACAAAGGACCAACTTCACACAAGCTGCACAATTGATCTCAAGTAACGCAAGGAATTTTTTAAAATTATTTTTATCTATTATAGTTTTTTCCAGAAATAGTAAATTTCATTCAAGACTAAGGGGGATCTAGGCATATGTTGGGTCATGACTGCAGAACATTAGTACGTCCAAGTAAGTCCAGAGTCCGATCCGTGATCCAGATTTTAAAAACAACTAAGTATAAAACGAACTCGCGTGTCAAGTGACATAACGCCAAAAACTGGCTGGATAAAACGAAGTTAAGCTGTGACTTAATGTAACAAAAAACTGCAACATTAGCAACTCGATCATACTGTATCTCCAAGAGACTTTCCATTCTATTTGCTTTTTGTGGAGTATTTTAGCGCAATTTCAGGAGTAGGAACTCATCGCAAACCTCTACCGGCCGCCCAGGGTACCTCTTCCCTCCAAGCAAAGCAAATTATCCAAAATCGCCTGGAAATTTTTCACATTGAGGGGCAAGTTAATCTAGCAAAGTGCGAGTAGCATCTTCCTTAAAAGTCGTTTTTAACATGATGCCCGATACCCCTATCAAGACATAAATCACTAAGAGAAATTCGACACTTTTGGGATCACATCGCGGAGGGCTATTTTTATTTTTGGCCGATGAGTATTCTTGATCCCTGACTACTGTACAGGACTGTGCAGGGCGCTTTAAAAGTCAGTTGCTTTTATAATAAACCTCGTGTAAAACCATTCCGTATTGACACAACCGGATCAGGTGAGTATAAGAAAAAAAACTGAATTGCAACATATTCCAAACGTCAGAACAACCCTTGCCTTATTTCAAGGGGATTTTAAACCTCAAAACAATCTTTTATGCGGAAATGAGAATACTGTAAACCGCCTGCAAGTATGAGATATATTTGGAGGGAAAACTACTTTATGATGGTTCCAAGGAATGTTCTATAGCGATATGAGCTTTCCTCACAAAACAGACAAAACAGAATTTAGGTATCGCACATGCATATATGGCTAAAAGGAGTGCTAAACAGACCTGGGAATAATCACATATCAAATGAAGGATTATTTCCACTGATACTTACGAAAGACCTAAACCGCAACTCCGTAAAACGCCGACTTACAATTACGGTGCGAGAAATAGGCTGCAAACTACTGTCACTAATTCTTGAATCACAACCTACGTAAAAGAGAGGACCAAAACGAAAAAAAAAAAAGCTAGACCCTCTCAAGAAGCCCAAGATTATTATGTTTTAAACTTATCTACACAGAGCGTTTAAGAGTGATTAAATTTTTCACCTCAGACCGAGAGGTTAGTTTCTGATCAAAACCGTTGAAAACCATACCCTTCTCTTTCAGGTGAGGATCGAGGTGGGGAATCGGTGGGGAAGGGGAAGGAAGGTTCCGATATAATTCTTGAGAAAAAAGGTAAAAGTTGAAATACCAGTGTAAAGATTACCGGAAACGGACCTGTTGAACCTGTTTTAAACAGTTTTATAAGAGGGGACAGAAGAAAGACAAAACTAAATATCCCGGAACTAATAAGTAAGCTTTGCGTTTTGAACCACTACAAAATACCTCATAATGTCGGTAAACCCTCCCACATCGTGTTTAAGGGTCCCCGGGGGTTAAAAAAATGATGGTGCAGGTCAAAGAAGCTCTCCGTTGACCAAACCGCAAAACGCACAAACTTTAAGTAACATTGAGTAACTCTTAAAGCTTGACTTTTTGCGTGATCTTTTTGACGTAGCAACCTTCAGTGTCAGCACGAAGATGTCCAAAACATTCAAAAATTCAAATTCAAACTAACGAAACGAGCAAATTTTACTCACTATTAGTTTTACTAGAAACACATCGTAAGACGCAAGCCAAAAAGGTTTTACGTGGAACTTCATCTATATGCTCAATTTCACTGTTACAAAACAATCAAAACTCGGCGTTCACGTGGTTATTGATGACTAAGAATCCAATGATTTTTGTCACTGTTATCAGCCTTTTTCTGTTTCCAGATTTATTTTTCAAACTTATTCAGCAAATTTCCCCCTTTCGAGAAATTCGTGCATGTTACCACTTATGTGCGCAGCAAAACGTGACAGGCGCCAAAAGAATTGATCCACTCACGTAAACCCTACGTAAACAAAAGTAATCTCGATAAGAAATACTAGATCAGCTTTTCGCAGCGATAAGAAAACAGACGGCAAATATTAAAAGGAAGCTTGCAACAACAAATCTTGAAAAAAAAATGCCCGAGAGGTTATCTTTTTCCATGTCACAAGATTATAGCATGCAACAGAAAATGAAAGGAAAAAAAGGTTATCCTCAATTTGTCCAAGTCACAAGAGTATGGCATGCATGCATGCAAATAGATCGCTTAAAAAATTTTTTATAAACGTGATTTACAAGAGAAAATGGCAGTGAAATAGTGAATCAGTCACGTCCCTAAATATCGTTACATAACTAATCTTTACTCTCCTCAAAGACTCTGTTTGTGCACGTAAAGTGTGTTTCGTGCACAATCTCCTGATATTGGATAATATTAAATATCACGCCTTTTCGAATTGTTTGAAGTTATTTGAATACGAATAACATCAAAAAAATCGTGCCAACTTTTCCAGAAGGCCTATCTTCTTGGTTTCAAAATACTCGGAACTAGAGTCATACCTAACAATAATACACTGCAACATTACTTCTAAATCATAAAGGGAAACTACGGGACCAGGCCGGCTATTA